GTGTAGCCAATTTAATTCGGTTTGGCAAAACAAGAATCGAAAGTTGTCTTAACCAAGCTTTTAGGCAGCACACTTCTAGATACCGTAGGTTTTTTGGTAAAACAGGAATTACCGTTCATTTTGAAGGGGATGACTCTGACAATAGAGGAAATTACAGGGAATTGTTAACATTCATTGCCAAAAAAAGATCAAAAATTTTCCGAACATCTAGAAACGTCGTTTTTTCGGGCGTCTTGGATTAGCCATAGCATAAGACGATGAGGTACATCAAATACCCCAGACGCTCAGTCCAGGAATGTTTACTTTAATTTAAAAATAGTTTAAATAAAATACCTAAGATAAGCAAAAACTTATGTTTGGGAGGTTCAAAATAAACTTTTTTTAATAAGATTTTTCACATCTGGTTTTGGTAACAGTTTAGGAAAAGTCACGCGTCGCCACTGGACTGGTTACAATGCATTCTCGTAAGATTTAAGTGATCACATACGGTTTCTAAACTGATGTCGAACATTCAGATTTTGAAATAGCAATTTTTAAATCTGATATAAATACTTGTGTGAAGGATGTGAATGTGAATGAAGAAGCGCATCAACGAGACAAGGAGCTTCCAAACCAATCAACCATCACCGCCTGATATGCAATTGACAGTATATCAATTCCAACGTCATATATTCACAGGGGATCTCCACTCATTTGTGGAGTAGGCTCATCGGTTGATTTGAAGGTGTACAGGTTATTGTGCTTGATATTGCGAAGGTTTCGTTCCCTTGTGGTATGGTGCCCTCCTCTGCAAACTTTCATCTGGTCTGCCAAATAGGCATTTTGGACATCACTTAAGAACTACGTTTCTTGTAACAAGATAGTTCGTTATTAAAAACAAGTCAGTTTCTTTGGATAAAGACAAGGCTAACATCAACCCCACTTCTGATGTAATATCTGGAACCTAGGATTGCAAGAATATAGTGCGATTCATAGTAGAGAGAAACTAAGAACTTTGTTATACGACTATAGTACGTCCATCTCTTTTGTATGGCTCCTTGGTTTGGTGGCCTTGCATTGGAACCGAGACGACTAAGGCCAAACTCAACAAAATTCAGCCTTTGGCTTGTACCAGTATCACATCGACGGTGGAGTCAGAGCAGCTGGGCCTTCTTGAATCCTGTCAAGGATCATAGTGCCATCTTAGTCGAGGTGCAAAGGGAGGATTCCGTCTTTCTGAACAGGGGTGATCTGATCACCTAAATATTGCTTTAACCGCAAGTTTGATGTGGAGTATCTGACGAGGGCATAGTGGGTCTCCGGATGCCGGAAAGTCTGCGAAGGAACTGGGCAAGTTTGGCACATGGACGGCTCAGTTACTGACTGACTGACTCTGACGCCCGAGTCGTTGGACCTAGGCTATATCTGCTTATCGGCGGATATCTATGCGATTCTGGCCTGCATATCCCGCATTTTAGAGGAGAAGGCCTAGAAGAATAACAATCTTTTTCGACATCCAGGCTGCGATGAAGGCACTTAGTGCCTGCAAGATTACTTTGAGCATTTTATTGCAATGCAGAGAGGCTGTGGATAATCTAACAGGGAGGCATCCGGTATCGTAAGTGTGGGTACCTGAGATAAAGGGTATTGATATGGTGGAAGCTCTTGCGAAAGCAAGATCAGCGAGCCTGCTTGTTGGTCCTGAGCCAGCCCTCAGAAAGGGAAAACTATCTCTAGATATCTCCGTGAGGCCCGGAAGCTCATCGCCTGACATACGAACGGGTATCAAGGTCATATTATTGACGTTATCAGAGGCAAGGTCATTTGGCGCCAAGATCCATGTTACAAAGTGCTTACTTTTCCTCTACTATTCGTTGCTTCTGATACCCACTCAAACAAAGGGCTCCCAAATATCGATTTTTAGTGGTTGGCCGACCCTTACCAAGAAGTCACGCATTCCAAATTACTGAGGGCGGGATTCGACTTTCGAGCTAAGAAATGCTTTTCACCATTCCTCCTTAGCTGAACACTATATATTAGAGCAATGATGATAACTGGGCATTGACGATAATGGCCAGACATTGGCGTGAATGCCCGCTGCTCTAATGGACAAGAAAAGATGCACAATGTTCATATATAAAAATACAGGGTGTTTCAGAACTATGGAATCAAACTTGTAGGGGTTATTCAGTGTAACAGCAGAAAGCATTCGAGTATAGGGACCCATATCCGGCGCTTGTGTACTGTTATCTTTGAAAACGATAACAGAGATTGTTTTTCGTAGCTGCATTCCATATCGCTTTAATCGTACTATCGTATTTGAGAAGTTTGCAAGAATTTAACAAAAATTAATTGTTGCTTATAGAAAACTTTACCAATCAAGAATTGGCGGATATGCATTTGGCATACAGAGCAACAAGCTGCAATGCACGTGAGAACGGTCGAATTTGAAGAAGAGGTCCTTCAGCGAGTTGCCGACGAACCATCAAGTAGCACACGACACATTTCTGAGGATATGAATACGAGTAACGGTTCCATCTGGCGGGTGCTACACGAGCAACAACTTTATCCTTGCCACTTCCAAAAAGTTCAAGCATTGACTGCAGCCTATTATCATCATAGAGTTCAATTTTGTCAATGGCTTCTTCATAAAATAGCTGCACAACTAAATTTTTTACGCTATGTTTTATGGACCGATGAAGCCTCTTTCATGGTATTTTTGATAGTAGGAATAGCCACGTTTGGGACAAAAAAAATCCCCATGCAATTTTTCCATCAGCAACGTTGGTCTGTCAACGTATGGGCAGGCATTGTTGATGATTATTTGATTGGGCCATACCTTCTACCGGAACGGTTAACATGACCTATTTACCGGCGTTTCTTGGAGGAACTTCTTCCAGAACTTCTTGAAAATGTTCCATTGAACACTTTGCTGTACAAGTACGTGAGTATTTGGCTCAGCGGTTTGCACACCGTTGGATCGCCAGGGGTGGAGCAGTTTCTTGGCCTCCTAGGTCACCCGATTTAACGTCGCTAGATTTTTTCCTGTAGGGACATGTAAAGTCTTTGGTTTACGAAACTCCAGTAAAAACAGAGCAAGACTTAATTGGACGAATTACAGCAGCATTTGAAATCATTCAAAACGCGTATCAATATTTAGTCAAGTCCGCCGAAATCATGTGCGACGTTTAAATCGGTGTATTCAGGTTAGAGGAAGACATTTTGAACAATTGTTGTGATGATACCATGCAAAAATTAAATGCATTAAATCCTATTTAGGCAATTCATCGTCTTTCTAAATTTTAACGCGTCTTAGGACCGTAGTTCCGTAGTGACACTTTTCCTGATATGGGTCCCTGTACTCTCAAATGTTTTCTACTGTTACACTGAATAACCCCTAGAGGTTTGATGACTTAGTTCTGAAACATCCTGTATTAACATTATTCGTAATAACAAAAAAAACTTCAGCACCACGACAAAACAAACATTATTAAAACCTGGAATCCGGAGTTGACGTCAAAGGCATTGCTTCTTGTTAACCTCACCAACACGATTGTTATATCTCTCAGCGTTAAAAAACGTTTCGTTGTCATCATGCTTAGATTTTAAAATGACGTTAAAGCTTCCCATAAATCGTTGGCACATTCTTCAGAATTGGATACCGGTTTAAATAGAAAAATGACTTAAAATTACTACTATTACTACTTACAAGTGTCAGTGCCTGTGTAGGTAATAGAAAAAAACATAACCACACGTCATTGGCCGTTGTTTGCCGGAATTGACGTCATTTCCCGTTAATGATGTTAAATACGCACTTGTATTGTTTTCATCCGTACTCTATTGATGGGTCTGTGCTAGAAAGATGCTCTGATGTACGTGATTTGGGTATAATCTATGATCAAAAGTTAACTTTTAGTCAGCATATAAATAAAAAAGCATCAGAAGCATTGGCGGCTTATGGTTTCATAGTAAGGAATTGCAGGAATTTTCATAACATAAAGTATATTATGCTTATGTTAGATCCAAAGTCGAATATTGTAGTATTATTTGGAGCCCTTACTATGAATGCTATAGCACAGCTATTGAAAGAGTACAACGGAAGTTTATAAAGTTTGTTCTGTTTAGGATTGATGGGACATATCCAGACAGAGGTACAAGTAATGAGGAACTATGTAGTCGCTTATACATGTTGACTTTGAAAAAACGTAGGTACTGTGCCTCAGTAATATTTGGCTACAAAATGATCAACAATTTAATTGATTGTCCCATGATCCTGGAACAGATCAAGTTTCGTACTCCAACGTTTGCATCTCGCAATCATAAAATATTCGGGCTTCCTACAGCAAGAACAAACATTCTTCTCAAGTCACCATTATATGTAATGTGCTCTGACTTAAACAGAATTGGATGTTACTGTGATATATTTACGACAAATGTTAATTACCTGCTAAAGGCAGCTAAGGCTTATTCGGACCAATAGCTCATGTTACAAATTTATACCTGTGTTGCATTTGATGTTTTCTTTTCGCTTTTTATAGCTTTTTTTTGCTTTTGTATTATGTATATAAATTGTCCTATAAATGGGAAACTGTTGGACAATAAAGCTATTATTATTATTATTACCTGTTTTTTCCAACAAGAAATTTTTAATTGATTTAATTTGATCATCTTACAGTTGAATGTAAATATGTATGTAGATGATTTTGGATACTCTTAAAATGTGAGGGGTACAGTGAAAGCAAATTTAAATATTGTTACAGGTGTGGTTTCAAAATCGTCGTGCCAAATATAGGAAACAAGAAAAGCAGCTACAGAAAGCTCTGGCACCCAGTGTGCTGCCTGGCTGCAATGGAGCCATGATGCGCAACATCTATCCAGGAGCAGCACGAGGGTACCAGCCATATCCACATCCTACAGCCATCAATAGATATCCACAGGTCAGTTAGGCAACTAATAGACACTTAATAGCTAGAAATATGTTGGTCACCCAGTAATTCCTGTCAGTATTATGCCGGCTCTAAGACATTCCCAGATTCGTAGGAGAACTTTTTTAATTTTCGACATGGTTGATCTCGTCAATAAGTCCACGACAGGAGGGATTGTTTATTAAAGAAATTGCATAATCTCTCCAAACTGTCGAGCGATGGTATAAGCTGTACGAAAGAGGTGATTTCGATTTCGAGAACCATCCGCTGCCGAAACTGGCTGTCGTCGCAAAATTCATTAGAGAAGACTCGAATCACATAATCACATAGAAGGTAAACAATTTTTGCCCGAAGGTTTAAAATTACATATGTGCACTTTTTGCTCTTCATAGATAATTGTGTCAAATATTGCAAAAAATAATTCCAAAGTTTAAGTTTGCACTACCCACTGAAGCTTTTCCAGATGATGAAACTTGTATCATTTTAGCGTGCCGACAAAATCTCAAAGTTATGTATGGGTATCGATGACTATCCGACGATACCCAGGCACAATCGGTTAGGAAAAGTACGTTCGTTGTGTTAATTGGTCGCCACGACACTATAAAAACCATTTCTAGAGAAATTCAATTAACGATTACAACAAATTGGTATAATGAATTCCACCTGTAGTAGCTTATCGAGCTGAGCAAACAACTGGCTTTGTCCATTCTTCTGGCATCGGACTATTAGATCATCCCACCTATAGTCCAGATTTAGCACCATCCTACGCAATGTTTTTTCCGAACGTAAAATATAAATCAGCTCTCTGATGCTTTCAGCTGCGTGGGCTAGAAGAATCACATTCCTTTCCAGAGGAAAAAAAACAATGGTTTTAACACTGATTTGCGAGGATGAAGAAGTGTATCATTAGTGGTGGATATTTTTTTGAAAAACACTAACATTGGAATAGTGATCGACCAGATTTACCGATTGACCAACGTATATAGTGTTGGTAGACAATCGAACTTGATACAATTGCGGAATAAAACACAAAAGAATATTCAGATGATAGGTTTGGATAGATGATCGATATATGCTAATCATAGAGTCAAAAAACTGAAGAAGGTTTATTCGAGTTATTCGTTTTTTTTTACAAAAAGTTGATTAGCTCTTTTTTAACAATCCTTCGTCAGATATAGAAACCAAATGAAACAAATGTGTATACTTAACTTCTTCTGCAGTCAAATATAGTTTTCCCCCAAAATAATAAATAAATGGCAAGGTGGGAGATAATAATGATTTATTTACCAACTTACCGGACAAAATAATAAAAAGCTTGGATAAACAAAGATTGATCCCTAAGCTACCTCACTCCTAATGCGTTATTAAAATTTCCATTAAAAGAAACAACTTTTAATGAAGTAAGGACTATCACAACTTAAGAAATACATCTAGTAAGAATTGAACATCAAAATCATAAAACGGATATAAAAAAAAAACATAATTATTATACCATCTAGTAAGCTGATCAATCAATGTATAAAGCATGGCGTATCCCCTAAAGATTTTAAAACATTACTTGTATATCATACCAATCTACAAAACAAGTGGATGAAATGTCTAATTATCGCCCAATTGCATTGTTACCTATTTTTGCAAAAATATTTGAATCTGCCATAAACATGCCAATTATCTCATTTTTTGAAACAAATAAACTTTTTTTCTGGCAGTCAATATGGAGTTCGGTCAAAAAAATCGCAGTTTTCTATTACTTGACCAAAGCTTTTGACTGCTTATCACATGAAATTTGAATACAAAAGATGATTGCTTACGGCTTCGATGAAAATTGCATAAAACTTATGAAGAGCTACTTTAGTAATAACTATCAGTATATTTCATGCGATGAGAAACATTAAAATAATCAATTAATAAGGTATAGAGGCCTCAGGGTCCTGTTCTTAGGCCAACCCTATTTCTGCTATACATTAATGGTTTACAAAACTGTGAAAACTTGATGACAAGCAAATTATTTATGTATCAATCATTTGAAAGCTCAACAAATACATTTCGATTTTAAACAATTGGAAGAAAAACACTGAATCTGTTAAATTTTTATGAGTGCACTTGGACTATACTTCTCCGGGAGCAGTATGTCAAAAACATTTTCAAAAAGCATTTACCTCATTAGATGTCTTATATTAGCAGCCAATCAACTTTGATAACCGCATATTATGGGCATTTATGTCATTGTTTGCAGTACACACAGTACACTTCCTTGCGTCTATATTCTACAGTGTCACTGATCCATGTAAAGTAGCATTCACGTATTTAGCAAACATTCAGATGAGCACACATACCATGCAAGATTTGGGAATAATTATCGTCCTAATCATTTAAGACTCAACAAATTAAAAAAATGGAGTAAACTACCATTGTATATAGCTTTACAATATGTTACCCTAAAAGCCATACCCACATAGAACCCAGCTTGGAACACTGTTCACACGTCCCGACTGATCTGCCCTAACTTAATGCTGCTGATCTGTAGCACAAGGACAGGCACGGGTATTACGTATCTCTTGAAAAGTGACCTTAGGTCGGTTTTTTTTGACAACGTAGGTTTTTTGACAGCATAGGTTTTTATAAAAAATGTTAACTTAGCACTAGCTGATAGACACTTATTATGAACTCGTTTTGTAGTTGTGCGTGTTGGCTAAACTTCATGATGCTTCGGTTATCAATCTTTGGCTCTGATATGAGAGAGATGCTTCAGAGATGACATTATTGGAGGCTTAAGCTGTAAGTTGTATACTATAGCTGGAAGAAAACAGCAGTACATAGTGAGGATTTGTGCGATAATAATATGTGTTGATGATAATTCCATTGGATTCTTTTCTCAAATACACTTACTACAAAGCTAGAAATTAGTTGCGCATCCACTTTAACTTATTCATTTTGGAAATTACATATGCAAAATTTGCTGAATTACAAAAATGAGAGAGATAAGAAGAGAAAATACGCTACAGTCAGGAATATCTATGAAAATGAAAAGGTTATTACATTATCTTTTATTTCCAGTCATTTAAATTTTATAGAAATTTATTTTGCGATGCCAATAGAAAATACAAATCTGCGCATAGATGTGAGGCACTGCGAAAATGTTTGAAGTGTGATGCGACATACGTAATTTTTCTGTGATGTAACTTTATTGCACACAACGCGGGCGCGGTGGCGATTTCCCGTAATGCTCCTTAGAGTTTTAGAAAACAAAAAACGGGACAAATCGTTATTTATAACCTAGAACATAACCTGTCTTCAGAAAGGACAACATATAAGTAACCCTTCGGGCACAGCTAATAGATATACTTCATTTGCAGCATATTCAGTTATAATTTTCTCACATAGCAAATATCAGCAGACCGATACACATAATCATCCAGATGCGATCTTGCTACTCAGCCAACTTTCTTTCTTTGACATCTCAAGATAAACACTACTTGGCTTTCTGCAACCCACAATGCACGATTGAGAGTGTTGTGTCGTTGAGCTTTTGATGACGCTCAGAGCGACCATAGCGAGCAAACTTGAAATGAACTATTTGCACACTAAGAACTATCTAATCTGCAAGATGGCATTGTGTCGGTTTTTACGTTTCTTAGGTTTTTACATAATATCCCTGCCGAGCCGACAATTCGACAACTGTCAAGGGGCGGCACTGTAGTAGTTCACCCGATTTTATCATGTGCTTCATTTTATGCTGATACTGACTCATCGATTGGAAAATGTAAAAGTTAGCAAGGATTACGTAACAATGAATTTCATTTTTCAGCAGCAATGAATTTATAAAGCCGACTTTATATTTTACTTCGCTGCTCAGTGAGAGATCCCTAATCGCTGACGTGGTATATTGCCCGCCGCCCGCCATCATTTACATACGTTCCGGTCCGTCTGGATGAGGAAGTGCGGTCTTAGGTAAACTAATCGCTGGCAATCTGTTTGACCTCTGTTAATCAAGTTACCTGCGACGGCGGCGGCAGCTAATCTGGATCTAGACAGCCGCGACCGCCTCCACCAAGGCCGCCTTCGCTGCCCCACCATTTACGGCGACTTGGCATGAAAGTGAGGGAAATATCCAATTTGCATTTATACCATTGAAATAAAGAAAATTTATAAACAGCAACAAATAATTTATTTAAATATGGAGCAGGATGTAAATAAAAAACATTCAGCGGAATTTATATATAGACAAATCAAAGGAGCTTAAATGTTAGCTGTATCGAATAATTCTATCCGTTTTTAGGTTAATACAAAATTAAATTTTTTCATACATTAGATATAACGCTTGTAATTATTTATGACCCCTTGTCCACATATTGGCAATCTGCTAACTCCCTCAAATAAATGTGTGCCGACCTGACAAGCGTTGTTGGTACCGGAACAGACAATTTTTCGGAAAACCTAATAGATGTAAGTAATCCCTGAAAATGATCATTTAATTACGTCCCTGATCAATCACGTCATCTTTGTTTAGTAGACGTCACTTTGAGGAGATTGTTATTGTTTCGATATATAGAACAATCAAACACGAGAAATTTAATCAATCGTTGATGTTAGCCCAGATTACAACTTTCCTGCCAGCCGAAACGCTATCAAAAGTCATTATTCGGCAGTTGATTTAGGATTCCGTTCTGAAGATACAAACACAAAAAAACGGCTGTAACTTGTATCTTTGTTGCCCCTAAACCCTAAAGGATCCAGTACCTATTATATCATGCTCATGTAATTAATAGGCTATTGAATGTCATAACTTTCCAAAAACAAGAAATATTGACTTGATATTAAAGGACCAGTGATTTGAAATGTATCTGCATAGTTTCCTGAAAATACAGAAGCTGGACTTGAAACTCTTGTTCATGATCGACATTTTAGGTAAATAAATCATAATGAACACTGCTTCAAGTGTGTTTGTTTTTATTTTCAGATGAGCACAAGTTCATATCCTGGAATGGCGCAGTCATTCACAATGTCCCACGGTACAAATATGAGCACGGTAGCTGGAATGAGGCAAGATGCAATGAGTGAGTATTGACGATACAAATATTTGTAGTAATTCTCGTCTGTTATTTTTATGGGTGCATATACTGCAGGTAAGCATAATAAAGAGGCTAAACTTTTTTAACAATCGGACAAAACGGAGAATTTAGACATTTTCAGCGGTCCACTGAGAATTTTTATTTCAGTTATAGGACTTGTGCCATAAAAATCCAATTATTTAATTATTGTTGTGTGAAACAATAAAACAAAGAACATCTTATGATGAATAAAGAAACAAAATTGAAAGAAAGTATCTCAAATCCAAATCTATGGTAGGCAAGATGATACAGTCAATGTGATTTCTGATGTTGCTTCTGTTGTAATTTTTTTATGTTGGCCATCAAATCCGATATTGTAAGAATGTACCAGTATTTTGTGTGCAATGAACAGTTACAAGTAAACGTTCCATAAAAAAGATCCATAAGGTTTGTGAACTTGCGAATATTTTGTCATTTAAGACTTTATTTCGATATTACAGCACAAAGCCAAACTGACGAGCAGAATAATATCAATACAGAAATATTGAGATATCGGATAGCTGCTGGATATATTCCATTGAAATGAGGTCATAGTGGTTTTCAAAATTGCTCAAGTAATAAACAGAAGAATTCTTTTGTCCTACAGCCATATGCGCTTGTTTTGAACAACGCTTGCGTTACGTCGTTTTTATTGGCATACTGTCAAATATATTAACTCTTCAATATAGTATGATATCGGTGTTTGAAAAATAATCATGAAACAATGTATTCCTGCAATGGTTTTTTAAGTAACCTTCTTGAATTTCAGAACTGTTGATTGATACACTCTACATCTCATTAAGTACGTACCTGCTTATATCTACTTAACAATTTAGATCCCAAATTTCATACCAAAACCATCCAAAAGGGAACCAGCTTTCCTTTAACAGATGAGCTGTTAACTGCAAGTGATTAAAAACATGTAGGTTAGGGAGCTAAGGACGTAGATACGGAAATGAGCAACGTCTATCTAAGATATGGCAGGATGTTCTGCAAGACGTTCTATTTCCGTTACAAGATTAAGTGGTGAACTGAAGAACTGTATATATTCCAATGGAATATTTGACTAGTAATTTTATGCACCGCAGAATTGGCTTGATTTTCTTCCAAAAATAGACATTTCTGATTCACACATTTTAAGAACATATTGTTAGTAATTTGGAACATCAAATTTGATGATGTTGTTGATTTCAACTGATATCTAGTTACAATTACAATTAAAAATAAATTAATAATCGAACCCGATCATTGAGCTTCACCCATATTTAAGAATTTTGGTGAAGGCGCATGCAAAGTACGTCTGGCTAATGTTGCACATTCAACAAATTTTATTTCCATCTTGAGGTTATGGTGGATGTGTATTTGTAGTGTCCATATCGTAGAATTGACCATTTCATCAAATGATCGGGTGTTTCATGAAATGGTCAACTAAATTTGACCACAACGTTAAATCGTCAACGTTTCGCGATTTGATCATTCACGACTGATCGCATCATAAAGTGTGGTGTCCATAGAATAGTTTATAAAAATCCGGAATATGTTACGAACTCGTTTATTGTTTTGTAAGACAACAATTTTAATTTAACCTAGTAACTTCGAGAAATTGAAATAAAATAATTATACTAAGACATTCTTAAATTGCATAACGTGTCACAAATAAAATTTTTGAAGATATCAGATATCACAAATTTATTGACTGCGATGAGTTTTACACACACTATATTTTAGCTGGCCCATGACTTCATATAAATGAATGATAATGTAATTTAAGAGTGAAGTACTAACCTGTGGAGTATATTCCGGACTTCCCGACTTTTTGGCGTTTTGATCGGTACTTGCGTGACCTGCATAGTACTCGAGAACTCGAGTACATTTTTGTCGTCTTTTAATCCTACCTTCTTCCTCATATTTCAACGAGTTACTTGAATGCTCCCTTCGATAAACAACCTTTTTATTAACGACTGCCATGTTGAAATGTAATCAAAGCGCTGCCAGCACCTCAATAGGTAATTAATGTAAATATCTTACGATCAAACATGCTTGATCATCTCATGAAGTAGTCGCGCGTTTAGTTGATTGTATCGTCAAACAATTTGTTACCATTGACCTGGTGAACACATATCCTGATCTGGCCAATAGATAATGATACATTTCATTAAATCCGACCATTATGAAATGCTTAATCATTTCATGAAATGGTCAATTTTACGATATGTCCACTACATATTCGTATCAGGATTTATATTGTACAAGAGGTCTGCATGAACGTTTGCACCTTCATCATGCTTAGAAGTATTACTTCCTGGTTTCATTTTTCTTTGAGTAATCGCCAACATTTTCAAATATCCGGACGGGTATTACGTATCTTGAAAAGTGACATTTTGTCGGTTTTTTTTTTGACATTCTGTAGATTTTTGTGACATTACGTAGGTTTTTCTACAAGATGTTAACTGAGCACAAGCTGTTGCACACCTATTGTGAACTCTTTTTGTAACTGCACGTATTACTTAAACGACAGCGAACGTAGAATTAAGTAACTATTTGCTCGCTGAAAATTACCTGGTTTGCAAGATGACATTTCGTTAGGTTTTTTTTTTTACTTTTTTAGGTTTTTCACATAATGCCCCTGGCGGTTTTAGTTACTATTTTGTGGAACAAATTATGTAACGGTAGATCAAAATCCGCATGATCACCAATTCCTGTGAAACATATCAAAATGAGCAAGCCTTTAACTGTAATTCCGATAACAGTGCCTGGGTTTTATCCTAAACTGTTTATTCAAGTTATCTTTGTCAATCTGCGTCTAGTAACTCTGTTTATTCCAGGTATGAGCGCAGAGGACGAGTGGTACAACAAAAGCTTATCCGCCCTAAGGATGAACACGTCGCATCACCCCAACCTCGCAGCCCCAATGTTGCAATACCAAACGTAATAGACGGCAGGAGTCGTCAACTATTCGTACTCAATAACCTCGAACTCGCATCACAATGTACAGAACGCCCAGTAGGTTCTATAAGGTTAAGCTTTGTAAACGTAGTGATATTCGATTTCCAGGAAAATGCATCACGTTTAAACCACAATACCGAAATAAATTTCTGGGCATACTAATTGATACCCGAGAAAGGTTATAGGCATGGTTTTATCCACGAACTCATCGTAGACTTTTTAATAATTTGACACAGAAAGTACCAAAATCTCCATCATTAGCGTCAAGTCGGCAACAGCGCGGCATGCCATATTGACATTAGATCAGTACATAGACAACCGAATTGGTCGCTTGAGCGGGTAAAACCGCGGTCCAGAAAGCTAGTAGTGTTTCAAATTCACCTCTCGCCAATAAGATTTCGAAAACGGCAAGAGAGACGGAGCTTTTTAAATGGAGTGAAAATTGCGCTCTTATGCGAGTAAGAAAAGAGCAGTTAAAAGGTTTCGTAACTCAATGCATTTCCGAAGATATATACGGACCAAAATAAACCATTTTGTCTAAAATTATTCTCATTTCCAGCGCCTACTCAGGGAATGTTGTTTTAAATATTTATAGTTTTAAAATATTAATGTGTGATACACTTATATCTTTAGAATCAGAATTAAGGACTTTATTCTTACCCGTGCAAAAATAATATACCTAGCGTCCGTAAGAAAAATAAAAAACAAAACGTCACATTGAAAATCTAATTATGCCACTCCGTAAATGATAAAAGAGGCGGTGTTAATGTGCAATTTATTTTGGACTCCCATCTCAAATAAAGTCAGAATAAATTAAAATATTTTGAGGATATTCGATTTCTCTGCAAATACTAAAATTGCGTAACTTTCTAATTGCCATTGCCTACCTACAGATTAGCCGACATTTAGCCAACTTCGTATCATTTACTGTTTCCGAAATCCCAATGGTATTTAAATTATCGAAGCTCAATATCCTGAATACACAGCATTTACAAAAAATACACACAAACGTCTTATATGTTCACATTTTGATTAATCAACCAGTCAACAACAGGGTCCGACTTTGAAATCCCCTTTATCTTGCAACTTATCCATAATACCCGTACAGCAAACTTTGAAGTCCCGTTTTCTGGCCTCATGGAAACAGTCTATACACGAGTTCTACAACATACTCGTTCACGCACATGACATTCACAAAGCAACGAATCTTGTTCATGAAGTGAGAAATGCTCTTCATGAATTCCGTACTGAGCAATGGAGCGACTTTCTGTCGGGGATGCTTGACTCAAGTATTCCTTTCTGGAAAGATGCAAAGTCACTCAGAAACGGAAAGCGAGAACAACTCCCGCACATCCACGGTTCTAGGGGCATAGTCTGTAGGACAGAGGAAAATGTCGAGGTTTTCGCTGATGCAATGGAAAGTCAGTTCTCTCCCAACTATGACCTTGATAATGACCTCGACGAGGAGCAACATATTGTAAGATCCGTCAGGAGATATTTTAGGGCCAACGGCGTCAGAAGATTCCTCAATTGAAGAGCTGCACGGCACATCAGCGGAATCTCCTGAGACTCCGCATTGCACACCAGCAGAGCTCCAAGGTCATATTAAAGACCTCAAGATGCGTAAAGCACCTGGAGAGGATCGAATCACTAATAAGGCGCTGAAGCTACTTTCGCGGAAGTCCTTAACTTATCTCGTGGCAATAATCAATGCCATGCTAAGGACCCAGCACTTCCCATTAGTCTACTGTCAGCTCCTTCTAAGCTCGCTGAAAAGGTGATTCTACGACACCTTGAAAATTTCTCGGCAGACCACAATGTGATTCCTGACGTGCAATTTGGCTTTCGGTCTGAGCATAGTACGGGCCATAAGGCTTGTTGAACGAGTAACCAGGGGGTTCACCCGTAACAAAAGTACTGTCACTTTGCTACTGGATGTCTTAAAGGCATTTGACAAGGTGTGGCACAAGGGCCTTCTCTACAAATTGATCTATAAGGGCTTCCCCTTCTGGCTCCTAAAACTTTTGAAATCCTTTCTCGAGGGTAGGAAATTTCGGATCAAAATTAATAAAGTTCTGTCGACAACACGGCCCATCAAAGCCGCTGTCCCTCAGGGTTCGGTTCTTGGACCAGTCCTTTATCCAATTTTTATTCATGACGTCCCTTGCCCCAGCAGCTGTGAAACCTATATCTATGCTGATGACACTGCCCTGGTGGCCCAGTCGTGCTCTGGGGATCTAGTTCACGACAGGCTGCAAAGTGCAGTGGACGAGGTATTGGAATGGGCGAATCGGTGGCTGATCAAAATTAATTATTCGAAAACGCAGGCAATCTATTGTACTAAAAAACGTAGCGGCGCCCCGTCTGAGATTTCAGTGAATGGAGCTCGGGTACCATGGGAAAGCTCTGCTAAGTATCTCGGTGTCACTCTTGACAAGGGGATAACCTGGCAGAAGCACACCGAAGGATTAAAAACTAAATTCCAAATCTCGTTTCGGCAACTATACCCTATGCTATGTAGAACATCAAAATTAAGTTTGATCAACAAAGTTCGGCTATACAAGATGGTTATTAGACCAGCGATCACTTACGCAAGTGCGGCTTGGTGTTTTCAGGCCAAAACGCATTTGCGTAGCCTACAGGTTTTGCAGAACAGAACCTTGCGTACAATCACTAACGCCCCATGGTATGTTTCCAACGGGACCCTTCACAGAGATCTTGACATCCCTTATCTAAGGGACTACATCAAACAACAAGCGCAGCTACGTTACAGTCAAGCAGAATCGCATAACAACCCTTTGTTGCGCGAGTCAGTAGACTACACAGTGGAGCAAGTTCGCAAGCACACAAGGCTGCGACCCGCACTGTGAACAAAATTAAATCGTGCGACTTTAGGTCCAACCAAAATTATAATTTTTCTTCAACAACCAATCCCAAAATTAATTTTAGGATCAATTTAAAATTGCCGAATACTAACTAGCAATGCCAAGACACCCCTCAAATTGGTGCACTTCTTTTTTCTTTGTTCTCCCTCCTTTCTTCTTCCCTTCTTTCTCCCTGACTTTGTTTGGTATCTGGGCAACCAGACCTGACAGACCTACTGACTTACGAGACTTCAACCAAGAGCAAAGGTCCTACGGACCGCTCTGACAGACAATGACGAATAGTAACATACTCGTACTAAGTTTAAAAAAATAGGATAGCCATGATAGAGTCGTATTTTGTTTACGGCTTACTTTGAAAACCAATTATTTTCTAGCGCCCCCTGAAATAGCTTCAATGCTGCAATTTAGTATAGCTTTTTAGGTATTTACAAAAAGACAAATTAGATATTGCACCCCTCTCCCCCCCCCTCCTACAATTTCCTCAATGCTTTTTAACGGCCACCAGCAGCATCATATAACCCGGCTATATATCTCGGATGTGTCAGATATATCTTGCCTATATCAGGCTCGAATGACTGAAGAAATTGAACATTACATAAAGTAGGATTCCTATAGTTCGGAAATCTAGCAATATATAAAAATAGGTCGTAAATGTCAAAAATGTGTAACAATATAGTCGGGAGACACTTAAAATAGCACCTTACTAGCTACTCTATTGAGTTCGATAATGCCCATTTAGAATAATAAAGCTGTAAGAGTATTTCTTGCTTAGAAACATCATAAGACTTCTGAGGGACATTTTTAATTTTCTAAGAACCCATCAAATCAACGTATTTAGCAATATGAACTACTATTTTCACAACATAAAAAGCAGACTACAATATTTTGTAATTGAATTTCCTACTTTTTCATTTAATGGTATTTTTGTTCCTGTTTGATAGGCCATGCGGGGTTAAAAACTTGAGGAAATATTGTAATTAGTTATAACTGTCAAAAAACTGTCGCACAATTCTATCAATCTAGTATCAGTATCACTGTACCACCGATAACGAAAAAAATCAAACAATTAAGAAAAATTACCACCTTGTAATATCTAATCATGTCGTCATAGAGTGCATACACAAAAATTAAAACAATCAAGTAACGCTTTTTAATAAACGGAAACTGAAGAGTTTGATAGAATATTATCGAATATTTTTCAAACATCGTCCTTGTTTTAACCACAGACAATATAATTACGATTCATTTTCAAGGTAATCGAATATATCGTGTATCAAACAATATTAATGAATCAATTGTTCATCAGGGCAAGGCCTACATGAGGGCTGCTGAGTCCAGGACACGGCTTAACAGAATTTTTACAGATTATCTCAGGCGTCCTTATGCAAATCATTAATTTGATAACAGGATTTTACGACCTAAAATTTTCGTCCACACACTTCTATCCCATTACATACTTCTTAAATCAGTACTGCTCAGTTGCGACCATATAGCGTTCACAAATTCATAGGAAAGTACCTCCGTTACCTCAGAGAAAACTGGCGACAAAGTGATAGCCTTATATATAGCTTTCAATATTTTATGAGCTTTAGATATTCTGCGAAATTTTTGTTCTGCCGTTCAACAAAGTACCACGATCACATAAATGTGACTAAAACTTTTGTTTTAAAATACAAGTGATCAGAAGATCGATACAAACCTCTTAATGGCTGATAATATACCCCTTCTAGAATACATTAAGCCAACATGTACGAAGTAGAACAGTTTTTGAGAAAGCCTATAAAAAACCAAAATCGTGCATCTAACCATAGCTGATTCAATAATCAAGAGCAACTTATTTCTTCCATAATTTTACTTCCCACGCCACTAGCGATGAAGCATTGTAATCGGGAAAATTTCAAAAATAAAATATCACCAAAAATCATGTCAAAAATTTTTGTCAGTCTGTCCGTCTTAACTTAGAAGATACCCAAGCTTACTACACTACTGTGCCAACGACGAAAAAGCTTTATAGTTTTTGGAAATCGGTCCAGTGGCGGCGGAGCTACAGGCAAGAAACAAAAAAATAAAAAACGCTCAAACTTCGTTTTTTGAAATTTCAGAAAAAATGTAGGGCTTAAACATTTGAGGTTGAGGGTTGTGGTCAAAACCTAAAAATCCTCAAAACTGTCCGCAAAACGAATTGTATTAAATTCCCAGGTTTCTTAATATTTGGAATTTGAGCAGTTGCCATATCGTCTTATTGAATTCTCAAACAAGTAACAAAGTGCTGTCGAACCGACTACTTTTTGTCAAATCCTCAAAATTGTCCGCAAAATGAATTGTACTGAATTCTAAGGTTTCCTAATCTTTCGAATTTGAGCAGTTGCCATATCTCCCTATCGAATTCTCAAACAAGCCACAAAGTTCTGTCGAACCGAACCACTTTTTGTAAACTCTAGTATTAATGCTCTATTCCGACTTTACGTTTTTGGCACATTGGCCAAGCCCAGAGCCAGGACTTAATAGCAGGCCCCCAAATGCCCAAAAATCACAAGGAATTAAAAAAAAATGCCTGAGTACCCCTCCGCCTCCACAAAACAAGGGCGGCAAAATGGACAAAAAATAATAGTTTACATTTTTGTGATCGAGTAAATTAATAATTTTGTTACTATCCAGCATAGGCGGATTTAGAGAGTGTGTAGGGAATGTCCTCTTATACCGGGTTTACATGCAGCCCACTTCCAAGGCAGTGAGCGGAGAATTGGGCAGGGAAGTGGGCAGCGCGAGTATGTAAATACGTAGCTCGCATTACGCATTGCCAGTGCTCATGCCGCTGCCGCTGCCTGGCTGCCTCATGCTCCCTTCGTTCGCGGTTTCTTGGACGGAAGTCAAAGGACCAGCAGCACGAGTGACGAGTGGCATCACGAGCGGCAGCGACCGTTTACATGCTGCCCGCTGTACCAACATCCAACAGTCAGTCCTATCCTTACGACGTGCACGCAGGGTATCTTAACCTAGTTTATTCCTTTTTTGGCAAAATTATTCGTTTTAAAATGCACTTGAACCATGATTGAGTGGAGCAGTGATCAAGTATTGAAGTTTTTAGAGCTATATATGTGGGTGGCTGAATGATTATTTTGGGGTGCTTCACATAATGATCACACAAAAAAACATAAAGTACATGATGCGTGGACACGGATAAGCGAAGGATTAAAAAACATCCCAATACAAGACCTTAAGTCGAAAAAAGACGCTAATGGCAACATTTCGGCCGCTATTAAAAAAGAAAAGCGCTTGGATTAAGTCTGGAGCGGGTGCAGATGAGGTGTGTCAGCCCATTTGGTTTGCATTTAATGCAATGGAACATTATTATAGTTTTGCAAACTCAAAACACAGAGCGCTGTCGTCGAGACAACTTCTACGTCCTCCATTATTGCTGGAGAATAGGGTGGCTGCATGTAAACAGTCACTTGCTCCAAATGCTGCCGTGGAATTATTCACGGCAGGACAGTGGGCAGCGCGAGTGGCAGCGGCAGTGGCTACATGTAAACCCGGTATTAGATGCGCAAGCCTTTTAGTAAAAGGATTACTGTTTATTGGTGCGAAAATTGAATCGTGGAGACCTGCTCTTCAATCGCTGATGCCCCCGAGATGACGAACGTTCTCCTGAACATGAATCCTGCGACTTCCACGGTGCCCCCTTGGATCGTTTCCTGAATCCGTCACTGCAAATGCTTTATTTTACTGAGATTCTGCTTATTCCAATACGCTGTGACATTGAGAAAAAAAAATATTATTGTATCGCTTCATATGGCACACCATAAGAAAGAGCAGGAGCAGGGAAACTTTTTTAACAGGTGCCAAATTTTTCTATAAAATTCTCCGAATAGCCACGATGCCATGCAAAGTCGAATCACTTAGTAAGCTGAGCTTGTCTTATAAAGAGTACGTCATCTTTCAGTGACTTGGACACTATTTGTATAGTCAAGATAAATGAAAAAACTAACGGGCAAGCAAGGGTGTAATGCCTTGACTTCTTTCTAGGATTTCACAAAAATGTGCGTATTACAAAGACGGGTCGGACTTTGTACAAGGGTATATGTGTCTCAATGTGTTCCAAATAGGGTGTACTATCAGTCTTCAAAAAATGTGTATAGACCATCCAAACACGCTGTATACGTCCTAGTTTATCTACGACTGAGTTAATGGCTTTGAAAACATGTCAACATTTTCTAAATAATCCTTCTGGATAGTTCGATTTCAAAAGGTAAATATATATATTATATACATTCAACTAATGCTTTTGCAAATAACGTAGATCGTTAACATTACGAATCGCATATTGAAGCCACACGAAAACGGCAGCAGAACTGATCTTAATCAATAGGGAAATACTTGAGGAAGTAGCAACCCAACAACATAGATTTGAATTGATAGAGTTTCTTGCAGTATGGACACAGAAATGTAACAGTTAAAAAATAATTCAAAACTTCTAGATTTTATACTGTATATTATGAAGTATGATAACACTAAGGGGTAAGGGCTATGGTACTTAAAGATTGAGGTAAGCTAATGAACTCAGTCGTCGAAAACTTACGTTGCTTAAAACCATAAGACAACGAGCCAAAATGTTTTGGCTAAACGTTAACTCTTGTACATATTATTATTCATACAACACGTACTTTAAGAAATGTGAAACATTAAGTTCCTCTATGTATAGTATCTACTGTGAAGTGAATCTAAGTTTGACAGAGTTGTATTTCGTGAAAGTTATATAGATGTTAAATTGAACTGTAAAATAATTTGTACTGTACATTCTTACGGTAATTTGGTTGGAGAAATAAAAATGATTATTTTGAAAAAAAACATAGATTGCAGTCAATGAAATCTAATCCATTGTTACTTTTCTTGAAACAAGCATCATATGTACAATTCGGAAATAAATTGTGACTCTATCAAAAGTATATTCTGATGATCGTTGAACATTTTTACACATGTTTCCATGTTTGGGAAATTAGCTACATCATCGGTTGCAATACGAGTAATACTTGGTATTACCATTTTGTAAAATATAAATATATTTACCTTTATGACTAATAATTACCTTCGCTAAGACTGCGGTAAGCTGATTAGAAATACCTAATTCCGCGTATTTTCCATGATTCACACTATACTTGTCTTTATGTCTAGAGGTTGATAAAAAGTTTTGATATTGTGTAAAATAGCAAAACTGATGTGAATGTAAAATAATGAAATTATAGGTAAATTAATACATGTGCCATATTATTATTGTAATTGCATTCGTGTGATTGTATAATTTAGATATGTTAAAAGTAAGTGTACATTGTAAATAGTGATTATAAAAGAAACAATAAGTATAGATGAATTTCTTTTTAATCCTGCTTCTACTATATGAATAATTATTCTGATATGTCAAAAGACCGATAATTCGACCATTTCTTTGAAAAACGTACTAAGGTTATTTGCAACAAATAACCCCTATTAACCGGATGTGAAAAAGAAACGGTTTCCCAATTATAGGCATTTCCGTTTTTGCTTGAAATATCACCAAAAACGTACCTATTATATTTCAAGCATTGAACTGATCCCCTCCTGAAATCTGATAAATTAGCAATCATCGTAGAAGAAAAATCCGACCTGATATTCTCAATATCCTCGTCAAGGTGAGAAGAGTTGGTCGATTTTCAAAACAAATACATATTAATAGAGCCTTCTCATTTGAGATACATTATTTCTGCAATATTCAGTTTCCACAAAGGAGTCTGACTATCCGGAACTGTCAGATTATTTGAGACTGTCAGAAACTGTTTTTTTTTCCTCAAGTGATTGCTGCTTTATCAGCCTTCAGAAGAGTAAAAGTTGATAGCCCATGATATAATACTTATGACGCTGAAGTAGATCCAAGCTTACACGATATCGCTCAGGGTTTTCGTGAGTTTCAGTAATAACGACGGCGATAAACTTTAATGGTGGTAAGGCACAAAAATAAACCACTAAACTAAAAAACATGGAACCCGGTAATTATCAAAATCCGGAAGATGATGGTCACGTCACCTGTTGCGTCTCTTGCCCCCTCGCTCGACCTGCTACAATTTTGTCCACTGTTGCCGAGTTGCCGCGCACCTCACTGAACCACTACAACGGTTACGTTACTTAATCCAAGAAATAAATGATCGATAACTCAGAAACGTTACAAAGTACATAATTTTCCACAGAAGAAGAAAAAAATATAGTCGAATTATTTTGTAATATTTCATACTTCCAATTTTATAGGCATTTTTATATATGATGAAGTTCTTACTGGCCGGCCTTACTTGCACTAACAAATGAGTAAAAAGTGTTGGTTGAATGAAGATAATATAATAATGTACGTGCCTAAAATATTATCTGTCTGATTACTCTCGCAATGTGCTAAATAATTTATCCAATACAAAACTCGCGAAGGAGATAATCGTGACCAAAGGATAAGTAGTAAATACATAAACGTGTGCAAATACATAATATGAACATTTTGTAATAATATGTGCTCATTTATGAATGATTATTCACTACAAAAAAAAAGATTTCTTATACGAATTTATTTATTTCCTGGCAGACCTAAATTTTATAATTTTCCTAATGGTTCATTGCTTAAAAAATTAAAGTGTAAGAGCGTAGAGCATAGTCATAAATCATATTTCTTTCTTATCTGAATTCTTTACACAGAGTGAAATATTGTATACTTACATCAAAAATAAAAATGTTCGTGTTTTGAGATGAAATGGCTTCATCAAAATGCACTTTTTTGCGCGAGAATTTTAAAAACTTTCGGAGTTGACCACTTTTTTAAGAAGAAATGGCTTCACAAAAATGTTTTGCTCCAGGCCTCGCCTCTGCTAAGGACGGCTCTGCTTACGGTATTAGTTTGATCGATCTAGAGCTACATTGCAAGCACGATGTAGCGTCTCTTTGTCTCTCGACTAGTGTAATAAGTCATATAAGGTGAAAGATAAGTTAAGCAGGTTTACTCTCTGAGCCGACGAATTACCAGTCACCATGCACATGCGAAGAGATATGATGTGGAGGTGATTAACGTTTTGTCCTTTTATTTTGGGGCTTTTGCAATAAGAAACGCATGCCAAATGCTACGTCAATGTCTTCGATTTGAAGTTGTCTCACCATTTCTCTTTACCAACCAGATTAAGTAAAAACAAGGACCTCCACAAGTTAATGTGTAGATACTCCGATATCGAGAAATTAAAACATCCTTTCGGTAATCTTAACCAAAGCGTGCCCTTCCCCTTCAAGATTTCCTTCAGTGCTCAAATAACTAACGTCCGTAACTTTTGTTGTCTCTGGTTATTTCAAAACCTCAGAGCAGTACCCCAAAAATTCTTTCTCACTGCCTGGGCACATAGGTAAAGAATCAGTAGCTTTTCCAGCATTGAGGGTCAAAGTAGGAAATTTTTCTGCCCTTTTCTATACAGGTCATTGTAGGGCATATGAAATGAATGACCTTTAAAGTTTCATATTATCCGAAATCATTCAATCAAATTCTACCCAAACTCCTGTTCAAAATTTTTCAGGAACACAGAACATCGAAACCTCAATGTCTTTAATGACCTGTTTATATTTTTCCAGTATCGAACTCATCTAGCATTGGGTTAATTAATATATCACTGGGTAGATTTTGCATTCTACAGTCTGGTCATGACGAACCTATCGTTCGTCTTTTTTTTAAGAAAAATATGAAGATGTTTTCGGTTACACTAATATTTATAAGAGCAGATAAATTTTGTCCATTTTCTGTTCTGGGGATATATGCCACCATCACAGCTTAGTTCTAACAGTCCCCTATTATCGGTTTATCAAATTTTCATGATTCTGCTCATTTTTACATAACACGACAGTCGAATAATGGCGTATGAAATTACAAAAATGTACATTCGACACGGGGCAAAATTTTACTTTTAATCGGTACACTTTGATAATGTGCGTTTTTGTTGAAAGCTATACAGCGAACAGTCGCTCGGTGGGAACCTGGCTTTAGAATTAATTCGACTCTGCACAAGCAGCACATCATACAAAATGAAGTAATTTTGACAGTATTAACCTTGACTCAAACGACATTTATACATTTAATCATAACCCTATTTTTGCAAGAATGTCCACAATCCACAATGTTATGAGGTCAAGGTTCATCAGAAATTATAAACTATTTTGATAAATCCCTGTTGTTGGTCGTATCTAAATTAACCGTGATGCAGAGAACACGTTTATTAATGAAATGTATCAAACAAGTAAGTTCAACAATAAAGACATTTTTACTCAACCTTTGTAAAAGTCCCTGAACTAAACTCACCAGAATGTATTGTTGGTTTTTGTAGGATGCAATTAGTATAAGAACTAAATCAAACCTAGATGCGTTGAAGGAACGCATTGTAAATGGTCCTTCCCTTCAGGATTTCATACACAATCCTGAGCCGATCCTAAAAGATGATCCTCAGGACTGGAAAAACTATGATGGCAAATTGAAAAGAGACAAAGGAGAAGACCAAAGATTGAGGCTGCCTCCTTGGCTAAAAACGAAAATTCCCACTGGGAAAAACTTTAGCAAATTGAAAGAACAGTTAAGAAATCTGAATTTACATACAGTATGTGAAGAAGCGAGATGTCCCAATATTGGTGAATGTTGGGGTGGGGGAGAACATGGTACAGCAACTGCCACTATTATGGTAAGAATTTTATTTACTCTACTATCATTACTGACTTCGAAGTTGAGTCATTTATTTTAACAGTGAGTAGATCTGATCAAAAGAAATGTTTTTTTCCTTTACCATTTTTCTGGTAAAATTAAAGTAACAAAGTTATAGCCCTTTGGAAGTTTGAGTACCGCCCTGTCTCAATAATAATATCATGTGCTTGTGTTTGGCAACAACGGATATAATCCACCTTATCGGTTCATCGCATCGGAAACAAAAAAGCGAAAGAATTTGGAACGAGTTTTTTACAATTATTTCATTCAGTTCAGTTATACATACAGTCAGTGTCAGTCGCGTGTGAATAGTGTCTGTTGCGTGGCTCAAACGAAATAAAAAATGGCACATGTTTATGCGGATCGGTTTCCCAATCGAGTGCAACCAACCCCTCGTGCCTTTGTTAATGTAGTACAACGGGCTCGTGAATCAGGTGACTTAAGACCTCACAGGGGACCTCACGATCAAATACAGGTCCGCACTGAAATACTTGTCGGGAGGATACTTTATAAAACAAGGTAAACATTTTTTTTTATTTTTTTTTTTTTATTTTTACACACATATTTTGGTTTATCTTCCTTCTACAATCATTATCTGAAAATTAATGACTCAACTTCAAAGTCACCCTGTATATTACCTTTTAAATGATTAATAAAACATTTCAAGTTTTAGGTAACTTCATTATTTATTGTTGTCTTTGTGATAAATGGCCTCACCATTTACTTATTAATGTTGAGTTTATCATGTTTATAATCTTCTGGGAATATTAGAAATAATCTTTCCTATGCAACAGTCTTAAAAAATGGAGTTATTGCAGAGAGAGCTATTTTTTAAGGTTTCTTGTCCACATGTTGCACTGCTAGAATACTGACAACAAATTTTGATTACAAACTGTTCATGACACCTTTTTTCCTGCTAAAAGCTCAAAATAAATATAGTTTTAGGTGAAAAATACCTTTTAATTTGATGCTATCTACACAGTAATAAGTAGAACGCTCTTTAAAACCAGTATTTTGTCAGTCCAGGAATAACATGATGTTATTACTTAAATCATGAAATCTGGAATGTGATCTACTTTAGCAAAAAAATACATATAATACATTTAGTTTTTTAATTTATGTAAAGTTGTTTACCAGTTTGTCTACAAAAAAATATTTTCTCAGTCTTTAGTGAAAAAGAAAATGTTTGGTGACTCACCTTTTTCTTTTACATTGGAAAGGTACTGGGAGATACTTGTACTAGAGGATGCAGATTCTGCTCTGTGAAGACATCTAGGAAACCTCCTCCACCAGACCCAAATGAACCTGTCAACACAGCTGGTGCCATCGCATCATGGGGCCTAGACTATGTTGTGCTAACTTCTGTTGATAGGGATGGTAAGTTCTAAATTGGGAGTCAATGCAACCAAATTATTGTTTTGAATAAGGACGTCATTATATTCCAAATCTATTTTGCAATAGTAACAGAGTGTCTCGAAAAAATTTGTTGGGGTTTCCAAACACAAAAAAATCTTGATACTTGTGCATGTGCTCTTCATTGTACAACAAATAACTTAATGCAAATGTGTTGAGCAATTTTTTGTTCTAGATTTGCCAGATGGAGGTTCAAATCATTTTGCTGAAACTGTCAGGGAGATCAAAAAGAGGTAAAGTTTTAAAGCATAATCTGATAATACACATATACTTCTTATTCAATCAAACTGCCTGTATTAATAATTAATGGATCCATTTCTTTCCTGATAATTTATAAGACAGTTGAATTTTGGATGTAGGCATATTGTTTTTACATGGTCAAAGAAGTATTCTTTCTTGTATTACATAATGCAAAATGTTAATACAATATCCAGTCAAACCTCACGAGGTGATAAAATCATTTCAATCCATTTTGTTATGATTTGTTCAAATTTAGCAGATACAGATATTTTTCAGAAAAACTATATCAATATAAGGAAATCTCTTTATTATAATCACACATAGTCTATCTATGTATAACACCTGATTTGAGAGAAAATTTTCTCATTTCTTTTTTTTACCCGTATCTCCACTGCGTATTTACAAAACAAATACTTTTAAAACTAAATATAGTACTACTTAATGTTGTATTAAAATTTCATTACAATCCAAGCAAACAGTCAGACCATTGGAACTGTGTAACATGCTTCTCTCTGATGTACTTAAATGTCATGTAACATCCAAAAAATATCTCATTTCGTAATTTTTCACGATTACAATGCTTTATCTCCTTGCTTGATGATATGTAGTAGGTATTATTTTCTTTGTAGTGCAATACCACCTAAAAGACGTAGGTTTTGTCTGAGCCAGCAATGCTTTATTTAGGCTTTTCAAGGAAAAAAATTCACCACATTGCAACAATGAGCGTGTCCGCACACGGGAGCCTCGTTATTTTTTGAGCTTTGTCTGGTATAAAACTACTGGTTAACAATATTTTATAACTGATTATAATAGCTGTTGATACAGACTTATAAACACTATATAATATTACGTCACAAAATCAAATAACCTCATTGAATTACACTCCAGGCATAACGCTCATATAATAGGTTGGTATAAATAGTATCGCGCCCACTTTGTATATCGCCATGCCGCGTATACCTACATTTATGTTACTCGGATCTAGTACCAAATATACAAAATATTTATAAATAACCCCGTGGCGCAAAGCATGGACGCGTCGATGCGACCGGTCTGCTGAAAATATGTTTCTGTGTTTTAAACGCAAGTCTATGAGATATGAAACATGTCTAATAGGTGTGAAGAATTACCGAGGTTGTGAGTGTATTAATATACTATCATAAACAATGATATATTCCCTCAATTCCCCAATTGTTTACCTGGTATGGCGTTTTCAAAAATTATTAGGAACCTCCTAAGCCTCTAAAAACGAAGTTTGAGCGATTTTTATGTTTTTCGATTTCGACATTTTTCTTTGGCGCCACTGGACCGATTTTCAAAAACTGTAAGGTTTCTTTCTCCCTTGGTAGTAATCTTGTGTAAAATTTCATCCAGATCTGAGCAGTATTTTCCAAGTTATAATAAATAGGTGGGCCAAGAATTAGTGAACGACAGACAGACCCACAGACGGAAATGGGTGACAAGGTTTTTCGTGATTTACGTCATATAACATCCAAAAAACGTAACCCAGTTTTTTCGGGATTGTGATATTTCCTCCGCCAGCAGGCGTGTATGGTCTCCAGTGTTGGACTCTAATACACTTTCACAAAAAGTTGCCTCTAGGCGATGATCCCCTGGGAAGCATTCCAGTGGAGGCCCATGCCTGACATGGGTTATTTTCACACTTTTTTTTACTGGTGAACGCCCACGATAATATAGGCGATTGTTTGATATAACAATTTAATATTTTTAATTAAACATATTCTGGGCTCGTACACAATATGTTTAAAAAAAGATTTTTAAAAATTCACGGGCGTGGTCCGTAAAAATAAATGAAAAAATAAATTGGTACCTACTTACCGTGTTCCCGCCATTTTTGTGTTGCGGTATCTCGTCATTCTTCCCGTAATCCAAAGGTAAAAATTACTTCAAACACTCACAAGCACTCAGTCCACAAGCCACCAATACGTTTTCCAAGGCACGACCGAGTTTTCTCTTTGAAAACACTGAAAATATCGCTCCCGAAAAGCCTGTAAGAAGTCCGCAAAATCCGGTATACTATAATTGCAACATGTCATAGCAAACGTCAGACGGTTTTCTAGGATTTGAAGTTGACGGACCCTCGAACTCAGTTCAGGGAATTCTTCCAGACCAGTTTGTATTTATTAGTGAGGGCGATTTTGGTCATTTCAGAAATTTATTTCGCTGATATCAGAGATACCTAGAAAAAAGTGGCTGATTATCTCGTGAACCGTGGCCGTTTTTCATCATATGCGCAAGCCGGTTGTCTCTTTAGTTCGAATATTCAAAATCCAGGTATTTCTTAAAGCACATGCATAGATTACAGGTCGGTCAAATTTGATCGCTGATTTTTGTCATTGCAGTACAAAATTATATTTGAGAAGATAACGGTCACGGGGGACGAGATAATCGAAGGCTTTCTTTCATAAATATGGTGGCAGAAATCATATTGCGACATTCTTCCTTTGGAAAATATCCCTGCTTCTGTTTTGACAAGATTAAATGCATATAAAACAAAAGACTCAAACTCTGCATCTTGCAAACAGTGGTTGAATAAAATTTTCGATTCTTGATGTTCCTCGAGTTATGTTATAGTCCAGTCATCACAGGCACTGGAATGGGTTAAAATGCTATACCTGCGACCTAAACAGAATTGTTTTAGTGGAAATAGCTTTATTACCCACATACTTATTTCGTTAAATCCCCCTCCCCGTCAGTTCGAGGGTGACTTCAGGTTTTCGACACAAAGGCATGGACAGTGTATAAGTAGTACAGTGGCACCCCTAACATGTGAGCAGCACTTCAAGCTGGGTCTTATATAGGTCCTATAAAGAATGAGGAAGTTATTTAGAGAAAAGTAGGGTAGGAGTTTAGCAAGGGAGAGATATTAACCATTCAAAATATCAGCAACCTAATGTGACCTTGTCACACTAATAGCGTTTCTATCTGTGTTCTCCACGTTCACGTGTTAGGGTAGTTTCAGTCTAAAAAAACGATTTCTTATTAACAGCTTCACATTTTGAAGTCCTACTTATTCATGAATATGCATAGTATGGTTATTATTGTTCAATACTGATAAGCAAATATTTATCAGATCTTACAGGTTTTTGGAAAACTATTAACAAATTCAAAATAGCGTGGCGTGGGAGACTTTACCCACGTAGCAGGGGGAAATCTTTCCACGGGAATCAACAAAACTTCGACAGCGTAATAGTTAATTGGGTCCGCATATGACGAATGTCCATTGAAAACATCTCATATAGATCTTCAGGGAGATACTAGTACTAACGGAATATCGTAATGGTTCGAAATTATATTTTTAGAATGAAAGATCCTTCAGCAAAAAAAAAAAAATGCGTCAAGTAGGTTGACTCTGCACTTCCCCCGCAATGATGTAGTCGGTTCATAAAAAAGTATGTTCTGCGCAAGATAGCTAGAATCATGTATAACTCTAAATTAAATTTTCAAGTCAGTCAAATAGCCCCATACAATCAATCCATACATTTGACAACGTTGCGATCTAGAAATTCTCCTGTCATACCGACCATATGGCAACGTTGCTCCCACAGAGGATACCAGGAGGACTGTGATTCATTCCCCCTTGAGAATCCGGTTGGAGCTTAAAATTTGCATCTTAGCAAGATTTTTTACTACTCTGGGAATTATTGGGATTGTAGTAACCTTGTTTCAAAGTTTTAAACAAGCAATTAGTGGACTGACAGGCAGACAAAACGACGGAAATAAGTGACATGTTTTTCATGATATACATGTCATAAACATAATATCTTATTTTCGAATGTATTTACGATTACAATACTTTCTCATCATTGGCGTTTGAAGGGAAAATAGGAAAACAAAGCATTGTTTATAACAACGTTCCTTTGTCCCCTGAATTTTGACCAGGTACTTCATAAATATCCGTTTTAAATATATATATTGAAGTCTTGAAAATGATCATCACAATTTTTATTAAAAAAGTAGTCAAACGTTAAGTGTTGAAACCTACAGTAACTAAAAACATAAAATTTTTAAATTCATCTGCTAAGCATGTATGAGTATGTGACAATTTATCCTGAAATTATCAAATGAGTTATCCTTATGGTACTGAATAAGTTCTATACATAGATTTTGCAAAAAATTCAAAAATATAATTCTGTGCATCCACTTTTTAGGAACAAAACCATTTTAGTGGAATGTCTTGTGCCTGACTTCAGAGGAGACCTGGACCAAGTCAAAACAATAGTAGATTGTGGTCTGGATGTGTATGCTCACAACATTGAAACTGTTGAAGCGCTGACGCCTTTTGTAAGAGACAGAAGAGCCCAGTACAGACAATCGCTCAAAACCCTCAAAGCTGCCAAGGAGTTCAGCCCAGATCTGATAACCAAATCATCCATCATGCTTGGACTTGGTGAAACTGATGAACAAGTTGAACAGACTTTAAAGGATCTAAGAGAAGCAGGAGTTGACTGTGTCACTCTGGGACAGTACATGCAGCCTACAAAAAGGCATTTGAAGGTAGTGGAGTACGTAACACCTGAGAAATACCTGGAGTGGGAGAAAGTGGGGAACAAGATGGGATTCCTGTATGTTGCCAGTGGGCCACTTGTCAGGAGTTCCTATAAAGCTGGAGAGTTCTTCATTGCCAGTATTTTGAAAAATAGAAAAACTAGTAAATCTGTTTAATGTTTTAGCTTCGTTTGTAGTATATGCATGTATTGTATATTGTAAAAAGAATAAATTATTTCAACAATATAGATCTTCTATTTGCTACATCATTGCCAATTCATTTGCCATGGGTCAGTTCACGGAACAACAGCATGCGTTTTATGTCCGAGCATCTTACGAGAGCTGACATTCATATATAACTATGTGGTTTGTTGCATGTGGAAGATGTTTCAAACATCAATAGGCAGTGAACTATGTTAATTTGATCAATATACGCATGAACAAATGAAAGTGTATCACCCAGCAGACCTGCTTTCCTTTTGTTTGAGAGTCATATGCTCCCAATCTGCTTACTAAATGTGCATGGGAACACAAACTGTAGAGGAACAATATTGATACTAAGTACTACTGAATGCTCCAAGTAACTCAACTAAGTCACTGGAAAGCAGCTCAGGTGTACTGATCGCCCTATAAACATTAAAGAAGACTTCAAAAATTTTAGATTTCGGTAATCTTTGAGCCAGTTTAGGGGATTATCGTGCTCGCGAGTGCCGAGAATTAGAAGATTTGATATTCAGATAATAAATGGCAGTCTTTCTGTACTTTTGTATGGATTAAAAAAACTTTCGACATCCTATACAGAAGGCTATTTTAAAGTTCACAATTTTGCTATTACTATACAGATAATCAAAAATTATCTGAAGTCACTTGAAACACTGTGAAATACCGGGTGCGTTTTATATATCTATATTTAACACGCTCTGTTGCTGCAAAAATCGGCAAATTTCGCAGCAAATATCCTCCGTATAAGAGATCAAAGGCAGTTTCACCGGTCCACGTGGAGTAAAGCACGCCTATGCGTGGACATAGCCAATGAGAAAGCGTGTATTTCAGAGCTCGGAACAAGTGCAGGTGGCTACTGAAAATTGAAACAGTTTAGCCAGTGCCGTGTAGCGGTGAATAAACGTGTTTTCTTTAGTCTGTCCGTGTTTTTTCATAGATTTTATTAGTTTGTGTGTTTTTGACTTTTGAATACTCAGTTTACTTGTTGATTTAATTGTTGTGTTGATTGTTCTTGTGTGTCCTAAATATGGCTCTTTGGAGACCTTGGGAAAATGCTCCAAGCCACGAGGAGATGGTTGATGAACCTGTGCAGGCAGAATTATTTCATAAAGATTTAGAGGAACAGACCCAAAGAGTAATCCTAAATATGTATGATTGTCTGAAAAACGAAAATCCAGATTCATCGCAAAATCAAATTTTAAACAGAATTTGCATCCTGACAAAAATCAGTTGGTCTACCATTTATCGGGTTATAAAAAGGGGAGATGTAGTCAACCATTCCTTCCACAGAAAGCGCATAGGGCAAAAATTAAAAAGAATAGACGTGGGTTTTCAGGAAGATATTCGTCGTATAATATACGGATTTTATAAAGAAAATTTGGTGCCCACGTTGGAAATGATACGGGATAAATTAAAAGATTATCCTGAAGATTTTTATAATTACAAATGCTTAGACTCACTGCACTGTATTGTAAAACTGTGTGGTTTTCAATACAGAAAATTAGATAAATGAATGGTGATTATGGAGTCGTCTTGAATCGTTGAATTGCGCCAAGAATTTTTGCACAAGTTAAAATCTATAGAGAGCAGAAAATAAATCTGATTTACCTGGATGAAACGTGGTATGATACCCATGATGTTGTGCAGTACGGCTGGGTTGACGACAGCAACAAGTGCATTTTAAATGCACCATGCAACCGTGGAAAACGAATCATTATTCTCCATGCTGGCAGTGAAAATGGATTTATACCTAATGCCTTGCTGTTATCTGCCAAAAATATCAAAGAATCATGTGCCGACTATCATGAGGACATGACCTCCGACTTATTTGAAAAGTGGATAGAGCAGCAGTTAATACCAAACATTTCCCCAAATTCAGTGATTATTATGAACAATGCGCCATACCATTCCCGACAGAAAAACAAAATTCCGAATACAGGCACAAAAAAACAAGACATTATTGATTTTATGAAGGATAAGGGAATGGATATACCACAAAAATCAACCAAAGCCATATTATTGGATCTTATTAAAAGACAAAAATTTGAAAAAGAGTATGTTGTTGACAATCTGCTTCAGCAAAATGTCCATGAAGTATTACGTCTACCTCCCTATTACTGCATTTTTAACCCGATTGAGTTGGTCTGGGCTGCTTTAAAAAAAAAGTAAGAAAACATAATCAGACCCCTCAATTAAGTGAATCGCTATTGGCCACAATAAGAGATGCAGTATCTCATATTGCTGCCACAGACCTATGGAAGCAGTGTTCTAGGCATATTATTGAAAAAGAAAATGAATATTATGTTTTGCCTCCTGTAAATCCCATTGTAATTCCTCTACAAGATGACTCTAGCGACAGCTCCGAAGGCGAGGATTATATATAAATACCTATAATGTAAGTCTTTATATACCTTTTTATATACCTACCTGCTATGTAAATATTTGCCTATGTCAAACGTTGGAATTCTGTAATTTTTCCATTTCTTAACTTTCAGTCAACATAAATTAAACTCCCAATATAAGTATTTTTTATCCCAAATCAAAAAAATAAGAAGATAGTAAAATCCATTTATTGTGATATAAAAACCTTATTATTATCGTTCTAAATAAATGCCGCACGCCTATGATATGTCATGAAATTACAAAGGACGCGCCGACCAAAGGTTTTTATGCTATTTCAAGTGACTTCAGATACACCATACATTCAGTAGTTCAGAGTTGGGTTGATAGTAAAAGTAACCATAATTCATACAAAAATATCTGTTATTACCCATTTTTAAGTTAAAATATTCATGTTTTACCTGCAAATTACTTCATAGGATTGAAAATTAACTGAATATCAATTCCCACAATATATCATTCAGTAATCAGTAGGTAATATTCATCATAATAAATAAGTGGATAAAGTGCCATCCCCAATCATTTCTAGTTTTTGTTCAAGGGTCTTAATGAAAATGTGCACTAGTGTCCCGGGATATGCCACTGTAAGTTATGTTAACTTAAACCTTCAGAGATAATCTAATAATAGTGTTTATCTATGGCTGGATGAAAAAGTATGCTTCATGAATAGAATTTTCAGGTTTAAATCTTACTTTTCATCACTTTTATACCATTGTATATGATAAAATGTTAGTAAACAATCAACCCTACAAGTGTGATTTCATCTAACAGCCAGAAAAAAATTGAAGAACATATCAATTTTTATTAGACCTCTATTTGCCCCTATCACCACATCTTCAGAAAAAACCCTGAATATTGTTAAGAGCAAACATTTTATCCAATAAATAATAAATTAAGAGGCACTTGCAACATTTGAAATACAGAAATCAACTTTGTAGTTAGGCATTGTACTGTTTTTGACAGCACACCTGCTCTTTACCCTTAAGCTAAGGATGGCCATATTTACTCCATCTTTAAAACCATTTTATTCAGAACTATTACTCAAGCTTAACCTGTTAATTTAACAATTATGTACATAAGAAACCACTAAAATATATCTGAGCCAGTTTGCCTGGCTTTGAGTTTAGCTTCTTCAGATGACAGTTTCTCCTCTGGGGAAGGTTCAAGAGGCTGTCCATTTTCGTCTAATTTACCTTCTTTAAAATCTTTGACAATCTTTGGTGCATATACCACATAGAACAAATCCTCAGCTGTGAATTCTGACTGTGTTACTTCAGGAGCTCTATAAGACACGTATGGCTTCAACTGAAAAAAATGAATAAAATATTGCAAAAATAGAAATTGATAAGGTACCGTCGGGTAATAAGGCCGGAAAGGTAATAAGGCCGAAAGCCCATCAAAAGTAAGATAAATTAAATACTGGTACATACAGTGTCATCTGTTAACAGGTATGTGAATCTTAGCTCATTGAATTGAGTTAACGGCTTGTCCGGTCCACCAGAAGCTCTGTGTATGTCGTTGAGTGTTTTATTGGAGTGATTTTCCTGAGATTATAAGAAGCGTCCGCAAAAGGTGGGCTATATTTATAGAAAAACAAGTGCATATTTATTACCGTCTGTTTGCTTGTGTTTTATGGATATTAATTAAATGTTTAATAGATAAATGTACTTTGTGCATTATTAGAAGATTCATAACCTAAAATATTTCAAATACATTGTCCAGATAATAATGCTGTGGCCTTATTGCCTGCTCTACTAATAGTTTGCTATTAGTAGGACAGATAATAAGGCTAGAACATAATGTGTTAAATTAGATACCTCTGATTTCGCAGATATGGGGAAGAAAAATCTAGGCATTAGGGCTCAGTGGACAGAGGAAATGATGGCAGAAGCTTTACAGTTGTTAAAGAGAAGGGAATTCACAAGAAACGGTAGCACGACGTTGTGGCATTCCTCGTCGCACGCTAAGAAACCACTTGGAATCCGGTTTATCAAAACGTTCTTTAGGTGCAAAACCCCTTCTAAGCACACAAGAAAACAATTTGGCAGTTAAAATCATTCGATTTGCTGAGAAAGGTTTTCCTCTCACGTCGAAAAGTTTGCGTCGTAGTGTTTTCAAATTTTGGTGTTCCATACAAATTTAATAAAGTAACGCAGTTGGTAGGCAAGGAATGGTATCGTTCCTTTTTAAAGCGCCATCCCAACATATCACAAAGGAGACCTCAGCAACTGAAACCCACGCGTGCTCGAAAATTGAACCGCTACATTGTCGATGATTACTTTACTACTAAATTAGGTAGTCTCTTGGATAGAAAGGGTTTAAAACACCGACCTGAAAAGCTTTACAACATGGATGAGAAGGGATGTAGACTGACCCTGCAACACAAACAATGTGTGCTAGCAGAGAAAGGATCAAGAAGGGTACACCTAATCGCACCAGAACATGGAGAGAATGTTACCATTGTGGCTTGTGCGAATGCCCTTGGTCAAGTGGTGCCCCCAATGATACCTTTTAAAGGTCAGCGACAGAAACCTACATATACTGATGGATTGCCTGCCAGGTCAGAGGTTTGCATGACACCCAAAGGTAGCATGACGACTGGCACATTTTAAATGTGGTTGGACCACTTTATGTCTGCCCCTCCCACGATTCTAATATTCGACGGTGTATCGAGTCATTTAGATGTGTCCATTGCGGACAAAGCAGAGTCCTTAGGCATAGAGCTCTTTTGTCTTCCTTCCAATACCACACACCAGCTCCAACCCATGGATGTGTCTGTTTTTCGCCCGTTTGAATCTCAGTGGGATCAAGAATTGCTTAATTACTGGGACCAACAGCTCAATAGAACACTAAGTAAAGGGCGATTCTCAAATGTTTTGACGATGAGCAATATCTGTAGTGGCTTCAGGGCGACTGGGAGATATCCCTTTAATAAACATGCCAAGCAATTGTCTGTAGGGTGGAAAAAATGACCATTCGATGACTACTGAAATAGACAACTGTTCCACAGAACAAGAAAGAGAAATTAGAGTAGGATACACTGAATGGGATCCCGAAGATCTTATTCCCTTGTCTAATTTTGTGAAGAAAACAGTACAAGAGAATCCTTTTTCTGAGGTTCTTATCACACCAGATATGAAATCTAAAACGGTATCAACACGTAAAAAGGCGTTCAACTATCACGCCTAAGAGGTAAGGAGGCAAGTGTTAGAGGAACACAATTCCCAAAAAAAGGCGAGCAAACTGCAAGAAAGTCGTTTAGTGTTCCAAGTACCAGTTGTCCTGAATCACAAGAAAGTTGGATGTGTACAGTTTGCAACCATGACCAATTCGGTGATATGTTTGTGCATCCTGTGAGACATGGGTGCATGAAGAAAATGTTGGGCTAACCATCGAAGACACAGAGGATTTTACCTGCCCCCAATGTATGCCCTAAGTATCCGGCCTTATTACCCGCCCTTATTTTACTGTGATGGCCTTAATACCTGCCTGGTCTGGTATTAAGGCCAATATGCAGGTACTCAGTTTTTTGTTATTAAAAAAATATATTTAAGTATTTGTAAAATGAGTTTTATTTTGTGTAATAAGCAAATGTTGAGAAATGCATAAGTGTTCATTTTATGTTAAAACCGTTTTTAGTTTCATTAATAAAAAATATTTTCCACTAACACGGCCTTATTACCCGACTTTACCTAGTCGTTTACAAACCTTGCAGTTGGTGAGGTCTGGTACAATAATTTCTGGGATCTTTTCTGGGATAAAAACAAATGTTTCACCATTGTGATAGCCTACATCTCGAACTCCCCTTTCTGTAAATTGCAAAGATATTGGTAGATAAAATCTTAATTTTCAAGGAAATCAGAAATACGTACTATGAACGGGTACTTCAGGATCTGGATTCTCCATTTGTTGTTTCTTGAAAATCTTGGAACCCCTTTTATTGTAAATAGGAAATTTTTTGAAATTCCTTTTGCCATTACAAACAGCCGTAGTAGATATTCTTCTTGAGATTACCCCAAAATAAGACATGTTTGGGTTTTTGAGCTTTGAATTTTTAGGTTATGTTACGTCGTTTACCTGACTACGTTCATCCAATCAATTAAATTCAGATTAACGGAAACAAAAATTGTTGTGCAGTGAGTGCAAAATATGATTTCATGCTACTATCTTCACTATAAATACATGTATATACATGAATGACATTATTTATTATATGAATTGTATTCTTTTTCTTAATTTATTACCCAAAAATCTGAACATTATTATCTAGAAAACTGTCAATCTAATACATTGCAGTAACGTAAACGTAGCAACTTGTCGAAGAAAAAGATTAAAACAAATTCGTTGCTCTGATATATTTTACGAACTTTCTTTGAATCATTTTGACTACCAAAAATATGCTGGATGTTACTGCTTCAATATTATTTTTTACCATAATAATTTTCGATTAATATTTTAATTTGGTGGGGGACGGAAGAAGCAGAGGTGGCGCCACGTGTCGGCCATCTTTCAAAGTGTGCAAAATCTACGGCTACCCGAGGACTAAATTCAGTCTGCGTTGCTCTTTAAAATAGTTGATGGTGTGTGATTCATAAATGTTTGATTTTTAGTTGATATTATTTCATATTATTTATTTGAGTGTACTACCGGACTCATGAAAATGGTACTAGCAGAAAAAAATAGTGAGAACGCCCGAAATGGCCGCAGAAGTAGGGGGCCGAGTCCAAATGGTCACGTCCAGGCTGAGTCCACTAGTGAGGACGAAAGTACAGGTAAAGCTTCCCACGCGCTTGGGAAACGATTTCTTAACTTGCAAGTATCCCGACTCGTTTCCAGATTTGAACGTAATTATGAGCTATTTTTGGCTGTTCTTTATCCTATCGTACTACGCACGCTGAAAAAATATTTTTGCAGTTCCAGTAGATAAGATCAGGGTTGGACGAGACTACCAAGCCGTTTGCCCCGAATTGCAACCAGAAAGCCAAAGAAAACCCGAGTTGCTTGCCGATAGGGCTCTCCTAGTTTGGTCGCCAACAGAAGCCATCCCAGAATCTAAATGTAAGCACAAATTGCCCCCTATGTTTATGTGGAACACCCCAGAAAGTTAGCCCAGTAGATAAACTTCATTACCAATAGCTATAAAGGATCTAATTTGGTATAGTTATGTTAAAACAATGTTAAAAAGGGGTGGAACTATAACCTTTTTCTGAATAGATAGTTTATTTATAACAAGTTAAACAGTATGACTCCATTTTATGAGCATAGTGGTTACACCGATTGATTTTTTTTTCAATAAATCTGGTAAAACCATGGAAATGTATATATGACCTTTTTGAGGCAACTAATAACTAACTTCAACCCTTAACCAGTCACATGCAGCATCTGAGACTCTGATTGATATATAAATAGCCACATATTTTTAGAACCATTTGTAATTTTTTGCTGTACCTTTATCTGATACTTCTACTATAACACACCTCCCTCCCACTCTATTAGCACCATTGGTTTGCCATCAGATCGAGAAAATAGCATCACTTTGTTCTGTGCAGTCTACCAGACTGTACCTAACGGTTAGTGTGACTTTATGCTATAGGCATCATTAGTTGTTTTTTGCATTTGGGAAAAGTCTGCATTTGCAAAAATTTTGCCAGCAAATTTGGTTCAAGAACACATGGAGAGACAACTGCAAAATCCCTGCTTACCCTATGAATTGAGCTTCATGATATTGCATATACTTGGTAATCCTGAGGACGTGAATGTATAAACTGAAGAGCTGGTCTCACAGAAATTCCGGGGGGCATGTTCATGGTGTCATAAAACAACACACAGGATGACTAAGTACCTATGTGTGCAATGTAAGCAACCAGTGTCTACAGTGCTCTAAGCTTAAGTGCAATAATTGCTTAAACAGTTCTGACATTTGAGGGCTGCTGAGGCTTTTGTTCTTATATTTGAATCCGATATAATTCCAGAAATGACTTGTTATGTTTTCTCATGATTGCTGTAAAAAAATGAGTTTCTGTCTTTTGCAAGCTTAACTTTGTCACTTTGAAAAAGTGCATATTTTTCAATTTCCCGAGTTGTTTGTATTGTTCCTTGAATAATGTTTATTTTGATGTTGATTTACTGATTGTTTTTCCAAATATATTTACCACACATTTTAAGGGTGCACATGACCGGTAGAGCACCAAAAATTCATGTGACATGTTAAGGATTAAAATCATCTAATGAAAGTCATATTTGTAAAATCTTTACACCTAGTTAAGTATTCAGAAACAAGCTTCATAGTAATATGCGAGGCTGGGGTTATTTAGTAATATACCTACATACAGAGATATTCTCCAAATACTACAGTCAATTGAATTATCTTTTCATGAGTGCAATAATCCTCCTGAAAGAATCTAAAACTACAACTAGACAGATCTATTCGATTGTATTACATTTTATAGTAAGCAGAACCATAGTTTTTTTGTCACCTAGAAATGTGTGAAACATTTCTGTGCACCTAGTATTATGTTTGAGGTACAAGACAATATATCTGTGATAACAGAATGTCAGAGACTATGTAATTATTAATGAGATTAAACAGGAGTTTGGCCTGCAAAATTCTAGACTTTTCAACCCAACTAATTGTCTGTGCATCTCATAGAACAGTCTAGAGTATGGGAAAGATTTTGCAAGTTTATTTTGAACTCTTCCCAAATGTTGGGTTTGATATTGGTAGGGATGACATCAAATTAGCCTGTTATATTCTAGAATACTGAGTAGTAAACTGTGAAATCCTTGACAACATGCTTCTTCAAGCTTTACCTACCTTTGATGTCCAATTTTGTTTCAGTGGAAGACTACATAGTTTTAGCTAAAGACAAATATGGATATAATGGAGAACAAGCATTAGGTATGCTATTCTGGCATAAGCATGATCTAGATAGGGCAATGCTTGACCTCGCCAACTTCACCCCATTCCCAGATGAATGGTCAGTAGAAGACAAAGTGCTTTTTGAACAGGCCTTCCAGTTCCATGGTAAAAGCTTTCATAGAATTAGGCAGATGGTAGGTATTTTATTTGGCAGTTTAAGCATCTTACATCATATTTTCATATAAAATAGCTTATAAAGCAATCATCACTAACATGTTGTTTGTTCCTATAGATATATGTATTCTCATCATATTGCTCTCAAAACTTATGTTGTGGTTATCTTGTTGATCTTCATGTTGGAATGGTTGTACAATGAAACAACATTTATAGAAAGAAAAAATTTAATGGCCACTGAGGTGGCCAGCCTGTTTGTAGTTTACTTGAATGACCAATAAAGCATTGAGATTTATCACACACACAATATGTGCTCAGAAATTCAATAAGCTTGAGATTTTATAATAAGGCTGTTAAACAATAAAATTCTTCAAACATATCTTTAGTACTTTGAGGTGATGAGTACCAACCAAGATAAATTGAAACAAAATTTGTATTGCTGCTGAAGATATCTAAAATTGAAGACCCTATTAGTTGTGTTTATGAATTATGAGATGATATTTTTAATACCAAGGTTACACAGCTCTGCAACATTCATATACAGATCCAATTTCAACAAGAATTTTATATACAGTAATGGACAAAAGTATATAGACAAATAATATTGTATTTGATTTTTTAACTTGTTTTATTAATACACCAACTCCCTTCAATAAAAAATTAATTGAAAAAACTGGAACTATGAAGGACAAAAATATATAGACAAAGCAAAACAACTATAGAAAAAAGAAGCAAAGTTTATTGAATTTTAGAAAACCAACCATGTTTTGCTTCAGGTCATTATGTTGCTGGAAGATTAATCTTAAGGGCATATTGTCTTCCATACAGGGTAACATGACATGCTTTAGTATGTCTGTGTGTATTTGGGGTTCAATCTTTGTCCAGTAGGACGTCTAACGTAATGAACACCACCTGATCCAAACATATTGAACTTGGATTCATCACTGAAACATACCCTCTTCCAGTCACAGATGCTCTAATCAAGATGCAACCGTGCAAATTGTAATCGGTCCTTACGGTTTTTCCTCGAGATTAGCGGCTTCTTACTTGGGCGACGTGCAAATAACTTCAAATCATTTAATCTTCTACTTATATTTTTCGTAGAAACACTGACAATTCCCTTTGTCTCGATTTAGGCTTATATTTGTCTTGGGGTTTTAAACGGACTTTGGACGAAATTACTTTTATTAATTTAACTGATCTAACATTTAGTTTTCTAGGCAGACCACTTCTCTTAGAGGCTTCCAAGATACTTTTTTATTTATATTTGTGCAAATTGCCCAAACTGCTTTACGCTTCAGCTTCAAATTTTTAGCAATGTCGACTTGAAGTTAACCATTTTTGTATAATAATCAATAATCTTAGTTTTCACATCAAAAGAAATTTCTGGACCACGCGGCATGGTCTTAAAATCACTCAACTTATTCCACAATACTTGATGAACACAAACTGTACCAAACTAATGTTGAAAAGAATTTGTCTATATATTTTGTCCCTCATAAAAAAGTGCTTATATTCAGACTTGTATTGTGTTCCTTGCACATAATGTAAAAACAAGGAATTTAGTTTTTCTACTAATAACGCATTAGTTTATGGACCAATGAAGTATGAATTCGTTTTCTAAAGGTATAGGTAATTATTCATATTTGTCCTTATACTTTTGTCCATTACTGTATGATGGCAACATACTAATTTTATTTTGAATTCGCTTGGTTGTTGGTCTTCACCCTAAATGGCTTGAAATAATTGCCTAAATGAGGAGTACTATTAGTTGCAAATTTTTTTATTAATATAGTCCTTGACCTTACAATATAACTCAATTTTTTTTTATTTCAGTTGCCAGACAAGAGTATAGCCAGCCTAGTAAAGTACTACTACAGCTGGAAAAAGACGAGATCACGAACATCATTGATGGACAAACAAGCAAGAAAACTGAATGCACCAAAAGAAGATGGGGCACCTTCTGAAGCAGGATCTGAAGGAGGCTCAAATGAAGAATCTGATCATGATGATAAGGTAAGATTAGATTAGAAGACTTATTATTAAGGAAAACATTCTATTTCCAATTTTTGTTCTCTTTAAGAATTTTATGAGAGATTTTATAAGAGGCTCTTGTAGCTATTTTCCATTGTACTTCTTACATGAACTGAAAATCTAACGTTTTTATTCAATATTCAGGAGGAAAAAATCGTGACAAAATGTTCCACAAATGCTTTGGAAAGAAATTGAATGTTTTCTATTTACATGGGCTTATTCTATTGGAGTTTTAAGATTTGTGTCAGTTGAGTTTGCATGGGTAAAGGCAATAGGATATTATAAGCATGCAAGTTTTTGCTTTGCAGAGCAGGAGAAAGTGTTCTTCAGGTTTTGCTAGATATTTTGGATTCTAGATTTTAGGGAAGATTGGTTTTGTAGTTTTATATGTTTAATATTTTTTACAGGACATTTAATGGAGAAATGTGATACTGTTATTTGTTGTTGTTACCTAATAATTGTTTATATGGCATAACTTGTATAAATATGGTATGTTAATCAGTTGATACATTGGTACTTTTATAACATGGGTGGGACATTAGTGGATCTTAATGAAGGACTTTATGGTTTTAAACCGAAATTTCCAGTCAATGCACTTGTCAGCATAAAATAATAAAAAATGCAACATAATGTAAAACTGTCACTTAAGAGCCACTTTATTCAAGCTATGAAGTCTCTTGCATTTACAATTGTTAGATGCCCAACCATATCCTGACAAAAGCGCATTATAAATATCATAAATATGACTACAAAGAGTGCTAAATGTATCTCATAAACATTTAGCTCATAGCTCGCCTTCGGAAATCACATTTTCGAAGCCATGGATGTTGTGACGTCGTGTGTTTGTCCAAAATTAGAGATATATGTACATACAAGATTGGATCTGGCTAATGGGACGCCATGTCCTAATGTCAAAAAAAAAATAATTAGCTCATAGCTTTTGGTTAAAGTTCAACAAGTTATAAATGACAAAAAAACTATTTTCATGTTTTAAAATACTCTAGTACATACTACTAAATTCCTTTTTTTTTTTTTAGAGTAACTTATTGTTTTCAAATAGCCATGCGTCCATTTGGTGGTTGTAAATATTAATTATGAAGAGAAAAGTCTCTTTGCATTGCAAAAGCTGGTTTATTCAACCAATAGATAAGTGTACAGTGTTGGTACAACAGGGCAAACAAACGTGGCCTAGTTGCCACACTTCACCTCCCCCCAACTATTACTACTTCTAGTAAAGTCTAAATAGTAGTAGTACTATTTAGACTTTTTGCACAGCTTGATTGAGTGTAGAATTCTTGTTCTTCTTTTTGATATTCTAAGAATTTCGTAATTGTTATAGGAAAATTGACAGTTTTTGATTTTTGGATACAGTATTTTGAGAAATGTTCTTAAAAAAGTAAGTTTGATTCTAATTATTGGAGTAGTAAAGAATTGATATTGCAGAAATGGACTATGCACCGTGGTATTCAACGAAAATGTGGCCTAACTAGTCGATGTCGCGTCAGTTGTGCTGGTACATCAGCAGATAATTCTGCGCAGGTAGATTATTTTGATGTATCATTGCACCTAATACGATAAAAAACCATCTTGCTGCTTACTATAGCACTTAGAAACGTTCATTTTTTTGTTGTCAGGGAGAGAAAAGTTTAATTTTACTTTTCTTCGCCGGTGAATATATATTACAGGGTTGCTTTTTACAGTTATTTGACATTAAGTTTTGGTAATCATTGTTCAAATGGCTATGGCTCATTCTCCAAATTCTAATGAACTTGAGAGATTTATGAAAAATTGAGACTGCTTGTCTATGTATGCAAAATTACCAAGAACTCCATGTATTTCTAAGAGTATTAGAAATACTGCCATTTTGTCCATAACACCATAGAAGAAAAAACCTGAGAACGTAGAAGGCAGTCACAATTCTATGATGTAATTGACTGGTGATTGTGTAAACAGGAGCAGCTTGTTTAATCATTGGAAGCACCTTGTAAGATATTGTTAGATACTTGTTGGGGCACTCTCTGATGTCTAATAGCCTTTAACACGATTATTACTACTAATAAATAAGATAATATCTAAGACTATAAGTATCATAGGAAAACTGGAACTCCAAACTTTGCCTGTAGGTAGGTAAACGTGAACATCGCACCATAACTGATATTGTGTGAGTGAATGGTTGTATGGCTGTAGTCGTTAATTTTGTTGAAGGGTAAAAACGAAAGTGTGGCATTATGATAAAATGGTTTTGGACTATTTTAGAAGCTTGGCCATTTTGCCTAAGCTTTTTTAGAGGATGGATTTTTGAGTTTCACTGCAGTTCTTTGAGCAGTTGGCATGATTGTAGTAGCAGCCATACCTCAGGCTAAAACAAAATTTTTTAAATGGTGGAGGCATACATCACTGTTGTATATGTGTTTGGTCACGAGATGTTTAAACAATTTAGTATTTTCTCTGTCTTTGTAAAATGGTGTGTAATGGAATTTGTATATGTACTCATTAGAAACGCTTTTTATAATATTTATAATTTTCAATCTTGATAATGTCTCAAAGCGTTTCGACGCGATCTTGAACCTTATCGGAACAAAAAAAAAAGGAAAAGCTACCACATTCTATCAAAATTGGTACAGTAGTTGTGGATGCTCTTCAGTACCACTCCCTACTACTGATCTCAAATAAAATTGCTCTTGTCATTTTATCGTGGTTCTTGTTAGAGTAACCATTCACATATACTAGAATCTGTATTCCTCTCTTATTATATAAGAAAAACATTATTTAACTGACCTTGTTCCATAAACTTCTAAGTGTCTAAATTGTTAATAGCATGGAACTGTGTGGATTTGATAAAAGAACTTTCGTTTCCAAAAACAATAACATCGTACCTTAATGACTTTAATATTCTTTAACTAGAGGACATCTGTTAACAAGCGCTGTTAATAGTGTGGTTCTGTCAGTTTTCGATAAAATATTTTTGGTTTTTATAAACAATAACTTCCTATAATATTCCTAAATGACTTTTATATTGTTTAATTTAAGGACATAATGCTAACAAACATTATTTGAGAATATATACTGATATATGTAACCTAAGAGGAACATCTACCTTTGGTATTGAAAACTGTGGGTATATTGTAACCCATGTAGGTTTCACTCAACAGTAATATTGTTGGGTTTTGATCATTGCCTGAAACACAATATGTCTCTGTCCTAAGTGTATCATCATTGTGTAATGGGTTGTGATGGTTAACTTTTTAAGTAATTTTGCTCTTTTGTATACTTGTGTAATATGTAGCATATATTCCTACATGTCCTGTAATGTTTAGATCTAAAAATTATTTGGAAACATGCGATTTCAATTCGAAGAATTCATTCTATAGCTACTGCTAAAGGTGAATAAGAACTTGTTAAATATTGAACCCACATTTCATTGTTCAAGTTTACTTCTGAAGCTTCATATCCAGAACATGAAATTATATGTTGCCCTCTCAATTGGTGATAGGATGGATAGAGTTACTGTTGCAAAGTTGAAAGGAATTCTCTAAACATTTCAAGGAATAATGCAGGGAGTTGATGCATAATTATGTTGCCTTGTTTGTTCAGGCTAAGTTTTAATTCCATCAATTTAGAAGCTTTTCCGGTACTCAGTATTCAAAAATCATTTCTTATGTCCACATAAAAAGTAGCACATCAGAAAGTGTCCTTCCTCACTGATTCCTATAAATGAAAGATTACCAGATATGCATGCTATCACTGAGCTATCATTTGTTTCATAGTTGCACTTGTTAGTATTCATTATGTAGTAAGAGGCACCGCCCACATTTTTATCATTGAATGCCACACTAGTCGCTCACAAAACATCTTTTTCGAAAATACTACTATTGGAACTTGCAGGAAATACTCGAAGGGTTGTTGTTGTATCTATCCAGTTCATACTAGGAGTGTAACATATTTTTCGATTTCGATTCAGAATCCCTGTATTTGATGATACAACTTGTCTCTTTACAGGGATTATGATAACTAAAGCATATAGACCTAAGCATACAAACTACAGATTTTGTCCTTGTTTCCATTGAGCCTAAGTTTCATTTATTTAAAATTCATCCCTTATATCTTTTGTGTGATTTTTCTTATTGAAGAGTCTCTTAGCCGTTTAACGCTACTGAATATCAAATACGTTTTACTCAGGTTTCCAGGTATAATTAATAATCTCAAAAAAAACTCGCAGGCTTACTTGTGTACAATCCCACATTCTACAGGTATTGACTCTTGGTGTATGCTAACGTGTATAGTAATAGGTAGTGTTGCCAATCAATACGTTTCATGTTTGAAAAACAACGCTCTTTTATAGTGATCAAAATCCATTCTGGTGTGAATTTGACTTAAATGAAATGGTTTGATGTCAGTTTCAAACATAACGGTTTTCTATCTTGTTCGACACCTTAACTCCAACACTGGAAAGGATTCAGTATTTCCTGTGAGTTGTTCATTCCGAATAAATATAAATAAACAAAAACAGATAAATTGCCAGTCCGTCGGTATGTATGATTGTTGTATGTATGCAGGGTGAGGGTGGATCGTGCTCAAACTGCGGCGTCATCTGTACAGTCACTCAAAACACCTCCAAGGGCGCCTACTGTAACTCCTGCTACCAGCATTGGAGGTACGTATGCTCCAAATCCCTACTACATATTAGTTATATTTATAGATATTAGGTATGTTCGAAAGCATAGAGTTTAAACTGATCACAAAATAGAGGTATTGGTCATCCAAATATCTTTAGAATACGCAAATGAATTAAATTTCAAAATGTATGCAATAAATAAGCTAATAACTTCTATTTAAATTCGTCTCCTTAGTTCCGTGACATAAAATCACCATTTGTTACATTGTTAAACTCTGGACTGCACATAAAAGATCATGCTTTGACGGGCTTTGGTCTTGACTCGCAACATTGTTTCTATTACATATCAACGACGTCCACTCCTGTACAATCAATCAAATCGCCAGCACTTCTGCATACAGGAATTCAGAGAGCTAAGTTGATTTTTGTTAGTGAACTGGAGAGAATACTAGCAGTGACTTCCTTTCTGACACGAGGTCTATCACTGCTTGCACTAGCACTCATCCGGTTTTGCTCGATAGCAAAGTACCAAAGAACCGTTCATTTCGGCTGGTCGGAATTCCGATCACTGAGGACTTGATCTGTCAAGAACAACTCTCGTCAATCGCGGCAGCTGCTGGGAAAACTCTAGGCTGTTTGTTTAGGGCTAAGAAGTACTTTTATCCATATAACCACTCTATGAAATGGTCAGATAAGACCTAGTCTCAAGTGTTGCTCACATGTTTGGGGTGCTGCCGCTCTGACTACATTGTCCATACTCGATGCTGCTCATAGAAGGGCTGTCCAACTGATCACTGACACTTCTCTAACGGACGGTCTCTGTACACTTTCGCACCTATCGGTCGCCGGCGATCTGGCTTTCTTGTAGCGCTATGTCAACCGAGCTTTGGTCCTCAGAGCTTCCCTCCATGATGCCGTTGTGCGTCGAGCCTGCCGGACAAACCCACCAGACTTCGGCCTCTCATCCTAATCGAATCGAACTTCGTCCAGAACTGCTCTTGACTTGTCGCGATTGTGGTACAATCTGCCTGAGGAGGTTTTTCCCAGATCTACTCACCACAGGCATGTTCAAAAATCGGTTTAACAAGGTTTCCCCTATCTTTATAACAGACGTAGTGTCGCGGTATTTAAGATCCTGACTACGCGGCTGCTTCGATATAAAGTTTATGTGCTGAAAGACATCGTTCTGTTTTCAGGTATTTCATTAGATTTTTATAGGAACTCTTAAAGAAATTTCTCGTAATTATATGTTGGGCTAAAGTTATGAAAACGTTCCGATCACTGTTCCTTTGAACTTTGTGCAAGCATTCGAACATAGCTTATAATCTGCAATACAAAATACGAATCTCAGAAACGTGTTCTTCTTAATGATTGTACTATATTAGAGTACTAAAGAATGACCAATTAACATATATTAATTGTTTATCTACGTGCTTATGTGATGCCACTTGCTTTTATTAGAACTTCATGTTGGTTAATGTTATGTTTGCCTCCATTTTATTTCTCATAGTTACGATTTCTGAATGCTCTCGTATTTTGCAAGCTTTACCAAAGTAACAAATAGTTCTCTGAAATACATAATCTATAGATTCGAAAAAATACCATCATTCTATTTATGTATAGATCTTGTCGCGAATACCTTATTGTTTCATTAAAATGTGTAAGCAATATCATTCACTGCTGATCGTGCATTGTTTGTCATCTTTTTGGAGAATCCATATACGTATTTTGAGATTGGATGATGGCACATAACAAATTCTGCTTAGTGCTGCATCATGAGTAGATACATTCAGCCAATTAAACACGAGGGGAAGACTAAATAATTTCGTAAAGACTCTAAACGATGAAAGATACAAAAATAACAATTGCGCGCCCATAGACGCACCGGCCTATCCCGCCCCACGTCAGGTCCGACGAGCAAGCGCGGCTGTGGGGGCGGCAGTGGCTCGGGCAGTAACGGGGGCGGCGGCGTTTCAGCTGCCGGCCGCAGAAAGCGGAAGCCTCCTAAAGGCATGTACATCAACCATGACGACCTGGCTGCTATGGCTAGTGGAAATGCGGGCGTCATGATGCTGAGAGCCATGGATAGGGAGCTGGATTCGTTGCAGAGGCAGGTGAGTATGCAGTAGATTGGGAAAAGTAGATATAAAGAGTTGTGCACTTTTTCATATGTTACTAGTAGCGTAGCAGTTTTTGTTTTCGTATGCTAGATAGTTTGTGATTCCGATTGGAATTGTTTAGCGAAGGTACAGCTTCAAAGCAAGCAAGCTGTATCAGTAGCAACAGGCAGTGCGTGTAGTGGGCGTACCACTTTCAGGTTTTCCCGAAATGACGTCTCTTCGACGGTTATACTGACGTACCCACTGTCACGGTTGCCGATATATATGTAATTTGATTCAAAATGATGCGATTTTAGATTTACATTGCCCATTAATGTGATGCATGAATCGATACATGCACTATCAGCAGTCGCCCTTAGTTGGTGATATTCGTATTATGGCTTCAGCTTTTGATTGTAAGTTCTGGATATACGGAGAAAATATTTTTCGGGGCATTGAGACTGAAATTTAATAAACTCTTCAAACTTATTCTGTCAAAATACATGTGTCTACTGCAATTTCAGTATTTTGCGTTTCTCCAACAGCTGAAAATGTCGAAAATTGTGAAATACTGTAACCTTGTGTAGCGTAGAATATGGAATATGGGGCAGATGCAAGAAATGCTTATGCCCAAAATTTGGTCATGTTTGCTCTTCCATGTGTGCACTATAAATATTTCTTCAGTACGAAAATATCTATTTCATGTTTGAAAGTTCAAAATAGCTATTGCAATTTTCCGGTTCTCAGCTTGAATTTTGAAATGAGTTTTATTTTAAACTTATGCAATTCACACAGACTGAATATTTTCAAACTGTTCTTAAGGAGTTGTATGCATTTGTATCATATTTCTTGCATTGCATACTATTTTTCTAACACTTGGCGTAATTGGGCATTCCGATCTAAGCATGCCTAAATTGTAGACATTTCTGATGTTTCATACAACATATTTTGTTCGGTGCATGTTGCATGTCTATCTTTTTCGGAGACAAAGCAGAAGCTTCTCGAAGTATACGAATATACCTATAATGTGAATCAACTGACACAATATATTTACCATTGTCAATGTTCATACTAAACAATTTACCAACATTAAGTTGCAAAAGTTGTAAACTGCCACGTTCATACTAAACGATTCACCAACTTTAAGTTGAAAAAGTTGTAAATTGCTGTAGTGTGATACATGCATACTTATCAATATACAGGTATACAATACAATCACGTTACGTATTAAAAGCATTCAGGTGATGGAATTATGATTTTACATTTTTTGAAGTTTTGATCTAGAGCCGGATGAATTCGAAATACTTAATTATTCCACAGTTCCTCAAGAGTAATTGCTATAAGGAGGTATTCACGAAATGTGTTGTCAAGTTTAGTATGAACTATGAATATAGAATTTCATATTTTAAATACATTTTGTGTGAAATCTGAATGTGCTTTAGTAATTTATTCATTTTTTCTTGTAGATTCAACAAAATAAACAAAACATTAGCTCTTTGAAACGCAAACACTCCGACTCCATTGAAGATCTCCGTCCTGGAAGCGAAAACAGCTCCCGCTACAACGCGCGATGGACAAATGAAGAATTGCTTTTGGCAGTACAAGGGGTACGTTCTGCTTATTTTATATCGTTACGAGTCATTAAACGACCAACTACTATCACAAATCCTGCGTTTTGCAGTTTCTCATATCTACATATTGTATTTTTTCAGGTACGCAAATATGGAAAGGACTTCAAAAGTATTGCAGAAGTGATTGGAAATAAAACCGAACAGCATGTTCGTACGTTTTTCGTAAACTACCGCAAACGATACAACTTGGATACCATTTTGAAAGAATGGGAGAAAGAAAATGGGCCGCTGCCCGAAGATAACAATTCTGGAGATGGAAAGACTGAACAGGTAATTATACTTTGATATACATTTTCATACTTAACCTACAATTTTGTCATCGAAATGTCAGTCTCATTTGAACATTGTGATTTATATTTTATTGAAATAACGTAGAACATCACATATTCTCTTATATGTGTCTCCATTACATGGAGAACAATTTGAAAGCAATATTTATAGCCATAGCAAGAATATCAGGCGGAATAAATTTGATTTGACTACGGACAAAAGTTTGGAAACAAATATTAACATTATTATGAACTAATTCATATACCTAAATTAAAATTGTTAAGGAATAATATAAATATTAAAATCTACCTTTGGCTCCAGTACTAATACAAGGTTTATCTTATCAATATTCAAATTCTTTGAAAATAAAAACACACTTTTTCAAATACCACAGTTTTTGTAATGACAAAAGTATGGAAACATTTCAGTTTTGCCGTATTAATTCGTTCTGCGATACTTTGATATTGCGTGCGGTAAATATTAACATCAGTGGAGGCAACATCATGGTTTGGGGCTGTTTTTCTAGTTCTGAAATGAGTCAAATTGTTAAAATTGTTGGGAAAATGGATCAAAAACTTTACAAAGACATTCTTAGTGAACACTTGCTCCCTTTTGCTGAAGAAGAAATGCCTTCATGATAAACATTCCAGCAAGATAATGACCCCAAACATACCTCAAAATTTGTAAAGGATTGGTTAAGACTAAAAAATGTTAATATTCTTACATGGCATTCGCAATTCCCGGACCTAAACCCTATAGAACATCTCTGGGAGCATGCTAAAAGACAACTGATAAGAAAAACTTTTAAAAATAGGAACGATTTATTTGTTTATGTGAAAAATATTTGGCAAAATATTCCAACAAACGTTTGTAAAAAAATGGTGTCTCCTATGAGCAGCAGATGTCAGACAGTGTTGAATACTAAAGGCTATGGTACCAAATGTTAGCTAAACAGTATTTTTTAAATAATTTTGTAGGGTTGTTGTATTTAATTTTGTAATCAAAAGTATGTTTCCATACTTTTGTCGTCTCATTTTCGATCATAAAATAATATGAATTTATTTTAATGCTATTCTGTAGTACCACAGCAAAAACAAATTGTCATTTGTATCTTCAAGAGTGTAAGCAAACTATATGAGACAAAAAATAGTCCTTAATAATAAACAATAAAAAATTAGGTCACTTTTTAAAAATTACTTAGAATGTTTCCAATCTGTATAAATTACTCTTAAACCTCTTCTGACCAATTTTCAGAAATCGACAACTTAGCGCTATACAAGATACTTTTTCGAGCGTTGCATCTGTGCACTTTTAACTACTTTAGTTCGTGTCTCTTCTGGTTTTATACTATTTTAAATTATCTTCATCAGGACCAGGATGGTGACAATGACGTGATTTGCATATCGCCAACGCCGAGTAAAAAGGACATGAAAAATGGTGGGAAAGTGGCCCAAGGACCTAAATGATAATGCTGCGTAGACGTCTTATCGTTGGAGGTAGCCATGAATGAATCGGTGCGTGTGATTGGACAATTTTAGTGTAGGTTGATAGTAACTTATGCACATGAAAAGGCGGGCGCAAGTTGAAGATTTGTTTGTGCGGAAATCTGTGTTTGAATTCTGATTATGTTTGTGGCACGCTGGCATTATTACCGAGTCACTTTTCTATATATGTCGCACATTATGAAGCTTATTACAGAAATAATACAATTTATTTTATATACATTTAGGTAATTATGATTCCAGTTATGTGTACATTTTTATTCCAAAATACAGAAATATAAATATATATCTGTCAGTTTCTAAACTTCTGCTTTTTTATTTCTGAACTTGAAGTGTGATTATTCAATTTTTGAGGTCATCTGATTTAAGTAATTTTACTCAGAATACTAAATTTCACGTCAGTACAGAAAAATAATCAATATACCATATAAAAATTATTTGGCAGGTTAGGATGTGCTCATCATCATTATCAGTATAGCTGTGTTCTTTTTATCAGCCAAATCATGCTTTGATGAGTATAAGTAAAAGAATAAATTATGAATAGTATTTAACAGAATGTCGTTCAAATTTGTATAGATGAAATAAGTACCTCTAAATAAAGTGTGCAAGCAATATGTCGAATTTAATATGTACTGAGACCTCAGGAACTGCCTCAGAAGGTCTTCTAATGAATACGGCTGTTATTGGATTACATTTTAGCTCGGATACAAACCAAACTGCACAGAGATAGGTCCTGCAAGATGTCAGTCATTCCTGTGGAGAGCATGTACATCTGTCGCATTTTGCAAATACAGACGACGTAGCCGTTTCATTATCACACCGTGTCCCGCCTTGTATAAACTAGTTCATTAAAAACCATGTACTATAAGACAGAAGTAATGCCATCTATCACCAGACGCCTGCCACTTCGGAATATATCTGCTGCCCCAAAGATGTTGTATCTGTTCAGCGCTTTAAATCCACGAACCCTTTTTGAGAACGTGAATAACTACTCAGATGAGACTGCCAATACAAACACCCGTTTTGCCCTGGCGTTTGATTTTGAAGGTTATTGGACCCGACAATGGGCGCGTTTCGTCAGAAGATAACGCTACAAAAGCGTGATCGACTAACGCTACTGAAGCGTTCACTTAGGCACTCATTAATAGTCGCCCCTTGAGGGCTGAGTACCGATTGAGGGCTGATCAATACCTCAATCTTAAACGAACAATAATGCACCTTCAGGTGACCCCTAAAGTGGGTACTGGGTATACTTAACATTTGCGTTTCACAGTAGGCTGTGCCAGCTGTCATCAAATTTTCAAAATCTTCATAATTCATTTTCACAATTTTAAAATTTCAGGTTTCAAAAACTTTTTAAACTATGAAAAATTTGAAAACCTAAATGAGAATTGTTATTGTTAGTTCAAAATTCAAGGGTCGATCAACCCTTGAATCAGCACTCAACCTTTAAGGGTCAACTATCAAAGCATTTCAGATGTGAACGTAGGAAATTATCTTCTAATGAACGCAACAAATTAGATAGCTCATTGCTTGGTTAAAATTGATGGCAGTCATCAAATTTTTAATACACAACAATGTGGATTCATTTATTTCGTATTTAAAAGAAAAGCAGTATCTGGATTGTAAATTATACCTTCTTGCGTTGTTTCCTACGTGCGTCGACTAACACAGTTGAAGCAACCACTTAGGCCCTCACTAATAGTCGACCCTGTGGGCTGAGTACGGATTGGTGGTTTCTCAACTCTTTGATTTTAAATGAACAATAATTCACCTTCAAGTCACCCTCAAATAGATACTTAATATTTGCGTTTCACATTTGGTTGTAGCAGGTGTCATCAAAATCTTGGTAATTCAAAGTTTCACAATTTTCAAAATTTTGAAGATTCTAAAAACTTTGAAAACCTAAATAACAATTGTTATTGTTCGTTCAAAATCCAAGGGTCGATCAACCCTTGAATTAGCACTCAGTCTTTAAGCACCAACATTAATGCATTTAAAATTTCAGAGCAAATAATTATCTACTGCTGAACGCGACAAATTAGATTGTCCATTGCTTGGTTAATTGATGGCAGCCATCAAATGTTTCATAGACAATAATGTAGATTCATTTATTTTACATTTCAAATTCAAACAGGATCTAGATTGTAAATTTTACTTTCTTGCATTGTTTTCTATTTCTCCACCTCACGTTATCAATGTGTCAAAAGCATTGTTTTCAAGATTGGCGAGCCAGAAGACCACCAGAGAAATAACCACAGATTGTTTTAAAGTTACATTATTCAGCTGATCAAGAATCTCGTTACTGAGAGATTTATCCCTAGTTATTTTCTTTATACATCCTTGCTATCTTTTCTTGTCGGCCTGAATGTATTCGTCATCATACTGTTATGAGTACAATGTGCAAACGTCTCAAATATATTTTGATATAATTTATCCATCTTACAAACTGACAACTTGCTGCTCTCCTACTGTTGTACGAATTTTGTATCTTTTGTGTTCATCTTATTATATGAGAAACTAGAGTATGACTGACACTCAAGTGCTATGCTCTCCAGATTAAATATCATGCTGAGCTACATTACTCAATTTGGACTAAAATAGTGGATAAGGACAAACTCTAGGATGCATTTACAGTTGTTACAAGAGTGAATATGTTTTAATACAATTTGCTTCACAACTTTCTCTACAAAGCATAGGAGAAATTGGCATGTAAAACTAATACTATTAGTCCCTGAATCCAATGCTTGTTACTCTGTCTAGCTGTTACTTCTTAATGCATTTGTATTTTCTCTCATTTTTCTTTTCTGAATTAGGGGATATGTTACTTGATTCGCACTTGAGCGAAGGAAATCCAAAGATTCAACCATCAGCGTCAAATAAAGATACTTAAGATATATCATGCCTCAAGATATTTTTATCCTTAATATATTACACTGTATAAATGCATAATTGGAGTTATATACCCTTATTTTCAACAAGCGAGTTTTGATTATTAGAGGGTTCAATACAAATTAATGATAGGATGTTACCTAGCTACGAGCTGCTCTGCTACTATAAATGACAATTCAGGACTATCAGACATTCATTGTCAAACATAGCAATGAAAATTGAGTTGGTGAGTCAGGCACATCAGTCAACCGATGCCATATGGCTCCTCTTGTGTTTTACTATGAAGCTTTTACAACATATTGTACTATTTGATTACATGATATGTTCTGTTGGTTAAGCCAAAGTTATTTAACACGTCACTGGCTGTAAATTTTCCCGACAAGTGATGGCGATTCGTATCAGATGATGTACAGGCACCCAACCCTACATTATTTACTTCTTACAGCAATAGGCGACGAAGTAATGTAATAATTGCGAAAAATTTCGAATTTGAAGTATTACTTTTTGAGTGTTTAATATAGGGATGCTCCGCGTACTACTTTTTCAAAACAGCTCTAACTCAACAACAACTCTAAACGCACTGCAGAGTGAATAGTGACTCAAAAGATGCTAGGAATAGAATTATACAAATTAAACCTACAATATATTTTCCCATACACTTGTTTCCAAGGTAGTCAGTAAAATTGTTGATTGAGCATAATGTATTTAACATTTCTCAATATTGTTATGTACGAGTACATATATTTCCATGATGCACTAGAAGTGATTAATTATAATTTTGCAATTATGATATTTTCATTTAACGTGTGAGTGTAAATATTAGTTTGTACAAAATTTAAATAGAAAAATTCAAGATTCCTGTTCCTATATCACTAATATTTTTTATTAAGCTGGGATTAGACATGTATATAAAATTGAATTATGTTGCAGTAAAGATATTGGCAAATTAGGTATTAATTACTATTGTTATTCGAAAGTGATATGTATTTATAATTTTTTTATTCCACGTGGTTTGAATGTAGTAATTAAGTAGCCAAAGCAACTCAAAATGGAACTTGTACACAAAAAATCTTAGCAATGGGTTGACATGTCTCTTTAAGTATTTTGGTAAATCAAATTAACTTATCTTTTGGTAAATCAAATTAACTTATCTGGTTAAGTTTGAAAATCGAAAAAAGTGCACAAGTTCTATTTCTAGGAACTCATTGTCTTGTTTCTCACTTACTGTTTTCCATATTTGTTTTTTTGTCATTCCGTTCTTTCTATACAGTTAACGTTAACATGCAACAGTTTACTTTTCAGTTATGATTTGGTCATGCATAATAAATGATTTGTATAACAGTTGTACAAAAATCTCAAATATTCGTTCAATTGTTGTTCAAATCAAAAATAAAAATTAAAATTGCATTGTAAACAACGAAGGAGTGTAATTTACGTTGAACCAAATAATACCTTGTATACATATACTATATAAAAAATAAAGTTATTTTTTTCAATACTCCATATTAATACAGGAGAGGCTCAAAACAGACAGATTGAAAAACCCTATTTACTATGAGGTGGTTCTTAACCTCGCTGTAGGACAATCTCATTGTGTCCCTGTTTTGTGTATCTTACAAATATACTAAATAATCTCCAATACTGTACATATACAACAGTAATTTTTTATGGCATTTGCTTCCTGATTATGCCGCATTTGTATAAAGTAATTGAATTGCAGATTTATGATTGGATGATTTAACATTCATTAGTTTCATTTTATAACATTGTGTTCGAGTTGACAAGTTATCCTGACTGTTGAGTTAATGGATCCTATTCCTTTTCAAAAGCCAGTCCACTTTTTGTTGTCAGATGCTCAGCTTATTACATATTTCACAATGTTACTAGAAGTATTAAGTATTTATTGATTTTAGAGTTGTTTATTTTTGTTCTGGTACCTTTATTATTTGACATTTCTAATGATTAGTGATTAAGGTTACCTATATCAGTAGCTTAGTTTCATTGTATTTAATATAATAAATTACTTTTAACGTTTATGGTTGCGACTTTTATTTAATAATAATAGTAAACGTCTCTTTATTAGAAGGGCGAAGTTTAGCTTGAAGCTATTCTGCCACTTATTCCTTAGCAATTCAAAAAAAATACAATAACGATTATAAACATGTAAAAGAATATACCTAAGTATACTAATAGTAAATAATAAAAAATTCATTATACATGTGAATGTACACACAAAAGGAAAAAAAATTACGAGGTGCACATGCATTTGTTATATTTTTTTTTATAGTTATACCTACCATGATTGGAGGGTTCGGAAACTGACTGGTACCACTAATATTAGGGCGCCTCGAATAAATAATATAAGATTTTGACTTTTACCCCCTTCATTATGATTCCTTTTACTAAGAAGTTTAGTAGAAAGAGGGGCTGGAACAGGATGAACGGTCTATCCTGCTTTAGCAAGTAATATTGCTCATAGAAGATCCTCAGTAGATTTGGCAATCTTTAGGCTACATTTAGCCGGGATTTCTTCTATTTTAGGAGCAGTTAAATTTATTACAACTGTTATCAATATACGACCAAATGGTATAAGAATAGATCGTATACCCTTATTTTCTTCTACTATGTAGGTGAGTACTTTTCTAAAATGAATTGTTTGTGTTTTAAAGTCATTGTAATTTAGTGATTTTAATGCCCGTGGTAATTCATTATAAAGCGTTATCGCGTTGTATGTGAAGCACTTACGAAAGAATGAGGTTTTGTGAATAGGCATTGTGAGTCTCAGTAAACCGTATGTCTCTTGTGTGAATATAATTTCGATGGATTAGCTTGTTCTTTAAAAACAAAGGAATCGAAGTAAGTAAGAGCTTATGAGTGTAAGTTAATAAGTGTAGCTCATATAGCTCCCTCATCTTCGACCATCCCAAGTCTCTTAAGGTACTGCTTATATGGTGATTTTCTTAACTTATTTATTAGTCTGCACAAGGGCGTCGCTAGGGGTTTCCCCCTCCCCTTGAGACCATGTAAATTTTGATTGCTCTACAATGTACAATATGTACGGTATAGCGCTCGTTTGGCAGCCTCGGAAGACTCAAAACCTGGTAAAGAAGCATCATGGGCGAAAATCGCCTCAATGGTCTGGCCATGATAAGAGTGAACCCTGAAGCTTGTTAATGCAAATTTCGATTTGATTATACTGTATTATACTTATCTGTACACTCATTCAACGAAATATTGTCTCAAACTCTAAGTTATAATAAATATAATAACAATTTAATTTTAGTTTCATTTCCGTACGGCCAAGAGCTCGTGGAGATTCACACATTGGACTTTATGCTGTCCTATCACAATCATCATAGGAATGAATACTCGTGTAAAATTTGTTGTCACATTACCTACAATTATTTCCCATTCGGCAGATCCAACTGCCCTGTTTTGTATAACATTGCAAGGGGAATGTGCGAGATTCAGCCATTGATAATTTTATATCAGGATTGCAGTAACGGCGGGAGGTTTTCATGCCAGTAATTTGATTTTCCTTCATTTGCTAACTTAAAAAATATATGGGGCCACGGTTTGTTAAAATAACAAAAGCAAAAACATCACATTCAATATTATTAAACTACATTCCGGATTTGCATCACCCATTAAGTGTTACTATCTCCTCGCAAATGAAACGATATTAAACGTAAATCAAATTCGTTTTCCATTATTTTAAATCTTACATAAAATGTGTGTGATGTGTTCCAACTTTTTGGTTTAAATGTTTTAATGATTATCAACCTAAGTTTTGTAACGAAGCATAATAAGTTATTAGCTGACAATTCCGAAAACATGTACGTTATTACTAAAACTCGAATAAGAAATTATAAAAAAATATACCCCTGGCATTGAAAAATCCGCAGATTTGAACTTACTTGACTCGCACTTACGTTCTCCATTGATTAATTTCTTATGAACTAAAAGCGCATTAGAAAACGTTACGAAATACTGTTGAGGCTTGTTTCGGGAGGCCAAGACCTACTAACGGGAACTTTTTATAAAACATTGTGTCAAGTAAGTTGACTCTGTACCTACCATGCTACACTATCAGCAGTTCGTAAAGGGTTATGTTTGGTACAAGTTTGCCCTTCTGAGAAAAAAGTTAGCAACGAACATGTATAACAAAACATTAAATGTCCTTCATCCCACCACCCCTACGAGGAATTGATGCGATATATAATCCCGCGTGAATGACGATATTGGGCTTCACCTTGCAGAGATCACACAGCCCAGCCTATAGCAGTGCAGAAGCAATTGCCGGCTGTGTCGTGCAGCCACCGACGACGATGATTGTCCTTCCATGGGACCACGTCACACGTATCGACACCCGACCGTAGGAGATATTCAATTTTCAAGGGTAAATGTACGGGGACCTCTATGAGGAATGACATCTGAATATGTGAGTAGGATTACTGGGGTTGGTATAAATATACCAAGGCCAAAAATTTGAGAAGTAAATAATGGCGTCAAGTAGGTCGACACTGCACTTCCCACACAACACCCTTGAGAAAAGTCACTCAAACAGATCCATACAATTAGTCCATAGACATTCTTTCCCTGTTCTACCGCTAGTGCCTCTGGAAACGGCTCTTCACCCGATACCTAACTCGGGAAGACATGGCACCGTCGGCCTGATAGTGCGGCCAGCACATAGAAAACACTATGCTGTTGCTCGGCAGAAACACGTGTGATTCCATAACAGGACAGTCATCGCGGTCGGCGCACGACGCCAGCAGCAGCCCGCGGCTGATAGGTGCGCAAACTGACTCCCGATAATATTTTCAGGGCTAATGTACAGAAAAGTGATGTGTGAAATACGTCTAATAGGTGCGTAGAATTACCAATGCTGGGATTGTATAAATGTACCTAGCATCAAAAAATTGATGTAGACCCTCTCCATTCCTTACAAATTCCACCCCAAAGTCTTTGCCTCTAATATATTTTTTTAAATGAGCAGGATTCTCTGGAGCGTCAACAAACGACGTTTGAGCGATTTTAGATTTTTTTATTTTAGGCCTTTTTTACTCGACCAATTTTCCAAAATTACAACGCTTCTGCGTCCTTGGCACTTCTCAAGTTATAAGATTAGCGGACAGACCGACGGAGATGAGTGACATGGTTTTCGTGATGTACGTTATATAACATCCAAAAAACATAATCTCATTTTTTTGCCAGCAGGCGCGGGAAGTAAAATGTGTCATCATCATTCAGACCAATATACACATATCATACAATCATCCAGATGCGATTTGCTACTGTGCTATTCAACCAATGTTCTTTGCAACACCTCAGTTCAGAGATATGCTCTACAACCTCGGCATTCTGCAACCAACAAAGCATGCTAGTGAACTGACTTGCAGCATGGTAGTTGAGCATGTCATTGAGTCATTCCTCCGTAGGTGCCGCTCATAGCGAGCGAGAGCGGAATTAACTATTTCCACAGCATAGCTATGTAGTCACCAAGTTCACATTTTGTCGTTTTTTACCAGCCCATCTGAGCTAGAAATCAGTAAAATTGACAATTTTTACGGATACAACGAGAGACTGAGCCGTATTCATAAAAGAGAAGCATATCCTCGGAAGCATAAGGTAAAAGTATAAGGTCTTGCTTGGGAGAAAAAGGTAGAAGTATAAGCATATCCTTGTTTTCATATGCATAATAATTACCTTATACTCGCGAAGATATCCTCCAAGAAGAAGTAAAAGGTTGACTGGTATTTATATCTCGAGCGACATTTCCTGACTTGTTCCAGCTTGTAGTTGACGTGGGAGTTCGTTCACTCAGCATCACTGACAGTTGTACTCCAGAGCTTACACAGACCGTTCCGTATTTTTACTGGATACAGTTTTTTATCAAATTAATAAGCATGTCATCCTCAAGTGATGAGGAAACTATAGAAAATAATGGCAACGACCTGCAGTTCATAGCAGATGAAATTGCCATTACTCCCATTATTTTGCAAAAGTCACAAGTTCCAAAAATAAAAATGAGAAAGGACGATGCCTTGAAGAAGTTGTTGAAAAAATACGAATCAGCATTCGGTAAACCATTAGATACTAAAGGCTTAGTAAAAAGAAAATCAACAAGATGAAATCAAGGTTGAAGAAAAAACAGATCTAAAGAAAACTGGTAATAAAGCAATTAAATTGTTAGATTGGGAAAGAAAGTTGCTTCAGCAAGCAGCAAGCTTTCAAGCTATGGAAGGTGACTGTAATCCTACAATTGGGAAAATTAGAGGTGTCATTCAGGTCGGTAGTGTTCAAGAAGAAGGAAGTGAAATATATACCGAGCGCAGTGAGCAAACAGCGCCAGCAATTCAGAAGACATTGCCGCCAAAAAGAAAATTAGCAACAGAGAAATACGAAACTGAGGAAACCAAAGGGTTAACTACAAAAGAACTGCAACGTCTAGTGCTAATACAGCAGTACCAAACAAGTATTTTGCAACAAAAGTATTATAAAACGAAATTAGAAATGATGCAGCGTCAGATGTTCACGAAAATAAAACTAATTATAACTTATAAATACACTTTAATCAGTAAAACTATTTATTATAATACTCAAGTTTCTTCTTATTTGTTGACCTAGTTGGCGGAGAGGAAGTTCGTCATTCTCATGATTTCCTTCATCTTCATCTGGGTCTTGTTCAACTAACTCAAGGTCAAGATCGCTCAAGCTCTTCGCAACATTATCGAGTCCAATACAAGCAATAATTGTTTTAGGCATATTTTCGAATTGTACTCGGCAAACATACTGTAGGATAGGAAACCGGCGTTTCACTTAGCCGAAACAGCGTTCAATTATAACTATTATAACTACTTATTTCTGCACCTGGAGTAGGATTTCTGAAGGGAGTCATAAGGCATGGCGTAATACCATAACCGTCATCGCCTAGTAGTACAATATTTGCTTTATTTATTAGTTGTGATCTAGTCTGTGAATTTCTCCATATTCTGGAATCATGCACTGATCCAGGCCGACGGACATCAACACTTGTGAACGTCTCTCTGGCATCAAAAGTGGCTTGCACATTTAAAGTAGGTTTCCCTTTTCGGTTGATATGCTCATCTCCATGGCGATTTGGTTTCAGGATTCCTATATGTGTACAATCAATTACACCAATTGCTGTCGGAAATGTATACATGCTTTGCCATATCCGCTTGGCCTCCATCAGTTCATGATTGGTAGTTGGAAACTTGATCTATTCGTTCGACTGTGCAACTATGCTGTTCTCAACTTTATCCACAGTCCGAGATACCATTGCTTAATTAACACCAAGTTCCTGACCAATACCTTGTTGATATCCAGGGTCACCGAAATAGCGTGGACATATCTTCATTTTATGAATACATGAAAGTGCTGCTCCTCGAGTTTCCTCATTCTCAGCTAAAAATCTGTTCGCAAGCCATTGTACATTTGCTTCGTCGAACCGATATAATTTTTTGAAGTCACGACCAAGTGAAGGTAAACGAGGTTTGTACGTTTTAACATCCCTAACATCCACAATTTCCGCCATCATCGTTTGACCACCTTTCGTTACGAAGTTGAGTCTGCTACTGACCACACTCAGAATTTTTGAAGGATATGCTTCCTAAGCCAAGTATAAGGTAAAGATTATGAATATCCTTTTACTTATTTCACTGCTTTGAAGGATATGCTTATACTCAAAAAGCAAAAGCATTTACTTCAAAATATTATAAATACTGGGTGAGGTGAATAAAACCAAGTAAGCACTTCATAAGCATTTACTTACGAGAAAAGTGTTGCCTTGAGAGTTGAAGCAAATTCTTGGCAATGAGTGAATAATTGTAAGGCATGACTCAGAAAGATCTACTTGTTAATATTGAGGTAATACTTGCGGCGAGTGCAAGTCTTAGCTTGTTTATCCTTATTCACATATTTAAATCGTCTTATTTACGAGTATTTGCTTTGTAAACCTTACGCGTCGTATAAATCTCTTTAGGTTTCTGTATATTTTTGTTTAACTAAGTTATTTTAAGTCGGACACAAGAAAGCTCAAGATTACTAACAATTAGGATGTCTTCTAGTGACGAAGAAAGTAAACAACCGAAACTTGTTTCTGATAACCGAGCATAGCTAGTCAGAATCTTGCAGCTAGAAAACAATAAAATAGTACTAAATAAGTCAATGGTACCAAAAATGGTTTCAGCAAAAGAAACCGCCTGGATAATAATTAGAGAGGAATTCATAAAATATACAGGGAAAACGTAACTATAGATCAGTTGAAAAAACTTCTTAACAATATGAAAAGCACTGTTAAGGAAAAAACTGACTTGTCATCAACAGGAAATACGCCAATCAAGCTACTTCAATGGGAAAAAGATTTTCGAGAAATTTTAAATGCTGAAGAAAATCCTGTATACAGTAAAATACCAGGAGCAATAATAGTTGGGCTAGATTCCAGTAATAAATGTGTTTTACTTCCCACACAGTTAAACGTAAGCGAAGCAACAACAGAAACAAGAAAGTGTAATCAGCAGAGACATATTTTACGCAAAGAACATGCTGCAGATTTCTTCCTTGTCCAGGGGCCACAATTCTAAAAAACACAGGTTGTTAGCAGCAGAAACAGAAAAAAACTGTAGGTTTATCAACTCCTGAATTTCAACGCTTAGTACTACTAGAGCAGCTGAAACTAACTAGACTACAAATTGAAAAAGAGGAACTCCAACTGAAAAACCTACGTCAGCAAGAAAACGAAGCTATTAATACCCAAAAGAATGACGATCCTTTAGTTAATTCGGAATTTAGGTTGCAAGATTTTCTTTTGTTAAAGTAAGTTTTCTAACACATTTATGAATAATTAGAATTTATCTATAATTTCTCATGTATAATATGTATCAGAACTTTTGGTACGAGTAAATATAGTATCGTGTAGAATAACTGTATTTAAGAGCTACATAATTTTTATTTGATACCTATTAACTATGATAAATATGTTGGAAACATATTTTGTTATTTAAATTGAATTAAACTGATTTATTATTTGGACTATTTCTAAGCGCTTTTCTTCACCAAGACGTCTAATGTCTCTTTGCTGTTGCTCAACAATTTCTGGGACAGCATCATGATCGTCGTTATTATTTTCTATTCAATAGTCCCACTCATCCTGCAAATAATTAGCAATATTATGAAGTATAGCACAACATATGATTATTTTCGGTACGTTCCTTATTGGGAGTCTAATCCTATTTGCTAGAATTGGAAAGCGCTGTTTTAGTTGGCCAAATACACGTTCTATTACAACTCTTTCTTTTGAATGTAATCTGTTGTACCGGCGTTCTGATTCAGTTTGTGATTGTCTAAATGGTGTTAAAAGCGATGGAGATATACCATGTCCGCTGTCCCCTAGCAAGCAAGCATTCCATTGGAATCTTGCAAGTTTTTGTTGAACAGCACTTTGTCTCCAAATCCTACTATCGTGCACACTTCCAGGCCATTGCACGTCTATACTTGTGATCCTTTCCATTGCATCACATGTCATCTGAACATTTAATGAAGCAACATTTTTCCCATTTATGTACTCATCGCCAAACTGCACTTCAGGTTTCTTAATTTGTATATGGGTACAATCAAGTGCGCCAATTACGGTGGGAATCCTGTATTTTGCCACCCAACTTGTCTTTGCTTCGTTTAAATCTCGTTCGGTTGTTGGAAACACTATCCATTGACCTGCCTTCTCCATATTTTTTTGTGCAAAATAATCTACAGTCTTACAAACCGTTGTTCTTTCAATACCAAAATCGTTTGCAACACCACTTTGAAAACCAGGGTCGCTAATATACCGGAGAAATATTTCAATATATTTTCTTAAGGACAGAGCACCACCTCGAGTTTCGTTGGTTTCTGGTAAGAAATAGTTTGTAGTAAAATCGATATTTTCATTTTCAAACCTTAAAAGACGTTTTGCACTATATCTGAGATCTGTTCGATCACGATATTGTTTAACTTTACGTATATTCATAAAGGCTGCCATAATTTAGTTTAGACCTTGCGAAAATGAAAGTATTTACTTAATACGTAGTTTTCTATTACTCTTATTCACTCCAATCGTAAGTGAACACTCAAAATAGTTACTTTAGGAGTAATAACTCGAGATAGCAAGTGTTTGCTTGACAAGTACAAGTAAAAGTTTTATTAATCACTTACTACCAAGAATTTACTTTAAAATTATGAAGTAAAAGCATTTACTCTCTTTTATTCACCTCACCCATTATCTGGAGTACTTCCTTCAACATTTGCAAGTACAAGGATATCCTTTGTTTTATGAATACGGCTCACTGTCTCGATTTGTCTAGACTAGGGGCCGTGCAAGTATTACGTAAGCAGATTTATTACAATTATTTACCCCCCCCCCATCCCCCTTGTCAGCAAAAGTAAGCAAAGCTCTTACCCCCTCCTCCCATGCTTACGTAAACATTTGTCAATTATTGTATTGTTTTTTTTAATATTATAATTATAACGTTATAATTTGAAAAATAAGAAAATAGATTTAGGATAGAGATTATAGAGGGTGTCCGCAAAGTTGACGTGTAGATCTTGAAAACATAAGCAATTTTTCTTAGTACCATATACACCAATGTCTTAAGGGAACCGAGATAAAGGGCTCTGCATCAAAAATATCTGAACACCGTCCTGTAGCCGCGACTCGCGACATCCCCGACTGGTACTAGGACACTAGCTCAACCCGACGACAGAACTGGGTCGGGGGTCGGGGTCAGTGTGTCAGGTCAGTATGCAACCTTCAACCGACGGTTACGGTCACGCGTGTATAGGTAAACGAACCCGTATAATCGATTGCGTTTCAAAAAACAACAAGCACTAGAGACGTGGCTAGAGAAGTGCAAGTATCAAAAACTAAAGTGTGGCAAACGCTGCGTGAAGAGGAGCTGTATCCGTTTCACGTCCAACGTGTACAAGCCCTTCAACCTGACGATTTTCCAGCAAGAGTGCGGTTTTGTGAGTGGTTGTTACATCAACATGACAATAATCCGGACTTTTTGAAGTGCATATTGGTGACAGACGAATCTACGTAATGGGGTGCATAACTTTCGCAACACTCATGTTTGGTCAGTAGAAAATCCGCACGCTGTCCGTCGGGCACATTTTCAGTGAATGTTTGGGTTGGCATGGTGAACGGTATGCTCATTGGACCATTTATTCTCCCAAATCGATTGGACGGGATGCAATACCTAGACTTTTTACGCAACATTTTGCCTTCCTTGTTAGAAGATGTGCCATTAAGTGTAAGACAATCAATGTGGTTTCTGCACGATGGTCATATTTGTTACCTCTGTTCGTGGTCTACTGGTCTGCACCACCGCCGGCGTCTGCTCGGTAGCGCATCAGCTGATTTCATTTTCTGTTGGAGCGGTATGATTTCGGGCAGAGACGTACTTAGCCCTTCTCGTCAACTGGAGAGTGAGTACTTTTTCCTTCATTTTTTTTACTCGTTTCACTACACATTACCTTTGTTATTTCAAGGGTAGTTGTTTCTGAAAAGGAAAACCCCAACTTTGCGGACACCCTGTATTTTACTGATACGGTATTCAACATAGAGTAAAGGACAGAAATATTATATCTTACTAACATAACAAACTTATTTTAAATTTTTGGTACATATATTAAATTCAAAGTAAGTCTTCAGTCCATGGAACCTGAATCCATGATTCTCAGTTTTCGATGACATTGGATTGCTTCGATTGCTGCTCAGTATTGTGAGTTTGCTCGCTTTCATCGGATTTTGGAATGTCTACGTCGTTCTCATCGAGCCATTCAACATCATGGTGCTCTAAATTTTGAATAATGCGCATCAGTTCATTAGCAGGACGAGCAGCGACTCCCACAGGTGTAACCTTCCTGTCAGTGTGCGTGTTTACTTTTTTATGGATATTTTCGATGTGACGATTTAGTGACTTGACGGAAATATGATAAAGACCACACGTTTTGCATGTTCGACTTCATAGGGCATAGGGCATTTGCAGGAAATCTTTGAGTGAAGCACTTAAGCGTAGAGCTAAATTGACTGGAATATTAAGAAATTGCCCTCCTTCATCCAAAACCAAGTCATCAACTGTTTGTTTTACTTTTACAGGTGGTGGAAGAAACCTATTGTCTAGTAATCTAAATAGGCCACTTCTCGGACGACAGCATTCTGTAGTTTTACATTTTATGATTTGAAGCAAGTATTGGCTCTCACGCACATGTTCTGAATACCATTTAGTGTCTGGAAAATCAGGAAGATCTTGTTCCCCTGCCAAAACATATTTTGCATTAACATTATAGCCATCAATTTCCATTGAACTCCATACTTCAGCTAATACATTTCCTGCAAATTCGAAATTAGATCTTTCTAAATGTTCATCAATTGAAACGTCACATTAAACCAGCCAGTTGCCGACTAAGAGGAGCCATTCTGCGCTCTGCTCTGTAATACGCACTTCTTCCAGGAGCATTGGTAGCTAAAAACAATGCATCGAGATCATGCCGCTTAAAGTGTTGTATAGCAAACCCTATGACTTTTTGATAACGTGGATTTTCATCTGGTCCTCCATCAACCGTCATGATTACCACTGGTTTTACTAGTCCATGGTCAGTTTTAGCTAATGGTCGAAACTCTTCAAGTTCGAGAAGCGTCTCGAAATCCTGAGCATGAGTATTAGCAGTAGATGAACTATGCTTTCCACTTCGAATAGCGATGTATGTTGGTCCAGAATATCCAACGGCTTGCGGTTGTCCTAGCATATTGGAAGTGATTTTGATACCAGCATAAACAGATGGTATTAATTTATGACGCCCAGCGATTACCCAATCGTGATCAGGCAATTTGATTCTATATTCCATGTGCATTAGAAGAAGTGCTTGCTTATTTGCCGCAGTTACGCCAATAGGGACTCGAGCTTTATCATCTTGAGATATGAAAAATACTTGATCTGGTCCAAGTATGGATGCTATGTTCTCTAAATAATGGATTGATGTTTCAGCGAACTTGCTATCTAAGTGGCTCTT